AAAACCCTAAAAACCCTAAAACCCTAATAAACCCTAAAAACCCTAAAACCCTAATACCCTAAAAACCCTAATAAACCCTAAAACTCTAAGAATAATAATAATTGTAGAGCCAAACAGGCTGGAATATAGGATGTTCTGGTCCCAGATGGCTGACAGGGTCTAACCCTTTTCAGCCAGATGGAGCTGATCTACCATTAATCGTCACTATAAACACCCACATCAATAATGTCATCAAGGATAAATTCCGACAACAGTCATGTGATGCAGAACATTTGGTTTCCCGTAATCCAATAGAGACTGCCAGACGACTCTGTGTTGGTTGGGTGGCAATTTCCATGCGGTTGAGATAATGACGTCAAGATCTTGCAGCTACTAATAAATAGTATATAACAACAAACACGCTGCCTGCCGTGTTAAGCTTCCTCACTTTTCATCCTACCGAGTAGGTGCGGCATACCTGAGGACGCAAACTAATGAGATATGCCCACGGCCATCTCCGAGACTATTATCCATCAGCGTGGCCTGCATATCAACCATATGCGGGCAGTGCCGCATCATGCAGTCGCCTCTTAGCCGATCCGTGCACTCTTGGCAGCAGATAGAGTTTGATCTATGATTCATACCAAGTAGCTTCCATGCTTTCCACTATGATAGGCAGCCATTGCTCCATGCTGCATTTTTTCTCCCCCATTGAAGGAAGCCCATCGAACAAAATCTGGGATTTTATTGGAGGCAATAATCCCCGCGTGCTTTCCGCACCCGCCATGACAGTCGCATATCGGCACCCCGTCTGGAACGAATTCTTCATTTCATCAAGCCACAGGACGTGAAGCAGGGTTCAGGGAACCCAAGAAACCTTATCCTCCCAAGCCAATAGTCCTGGTGTCTGATAATCGCATTCGACCAGATCGGCAAGGCCCAGATGCCACCATCCATGGTTCGTGCACCTGGGGCGATGCAGAGGCGATACAGGGGCAATATTTGACTCTTGTCATTAAGCGGCAAGCCTCTTCATCACCACATTCCAGCATGAAACGGCCACGAACTATGTTCGAACTGTGAGAGGGGCACATTATCCCAATTCTTGCTCAGCATGACTGTCAACCGGAATGTTGCTGTCAAGGCACTCCCTCCGTCTTTCTTCGCCCTGAGCCTGATCACGGTACTCCTGCGATGCTACGTCCGAATGCGAGTCACCAGGGCGTTTGGATGGGATGATGGGATGATGATTATTGCTCTGGTACATCTATACCAGCCACAGCAGGATGACAGAGAAAGAAACCGCTGACATCTTTTAGATATTTTATGGCATGTTCTGTGGGTGTATGGTTACCGGTGGCGTCTACGGCACTGGGATGCACTTCGATCAATTGACTACAAGCCACCGAGTCAAGGCCATGATGGTATGTCTTCCACTATTTCTACGTGGCACTGTGACTGATGAACCCGACTTAGTTCTGGTGGCTTTGCGAGATCGGATACTGCGTCTCATCTATTTTCTGTAAATGTTCGATCTGCATCTTCCTCGCCCGTATTACCGTCAAGCGTCCACATCTGGTATTCCTATACATTATCATGACGCTCACCGTGCTGATGGGCCTCGTCCTAATGTTCGGGCTGTTATTTCAATGTCGACCTGTGACCTATTTCTGGACCAGAGTGGCATTTGATCCCACCATCCAGGGGACTTGCGTCATCACCGAAGTGGTCGAAGCTCTGACCTACGCCTACAGTGCGGTGGCCGCCGTCTGCGACTTGGCTGTCGGCATTGTTCCTTTCTTTATCATATGGGGGTTGAATATGCCCTTCCGGCGCAAGGTGGCTGCGGTAGCGATTTGCAGTATTAGTTGCATGTAGGCAATCTGGTCCATCCTCCCCCAATGACCTTTTGCTGACCCAATAACAGTGCATGTTCAGCAGTGATCATTCGCTTCCCCTTTGTACGCACCTTTGCAGACATGGATTTCTTGTGTAAGTCCTGTCACTTTGTAGAATCCCAAGCTTAGCTGATCCTCCGATGCAGACAAAACCTACGAGATCGCCGTGTGGTCGAATGTGGAAGTGGGCCTGGGAATCTTCGCCGGCAGTCTTGCGACCTTGCATCCTTTACTCCGACACATTCGCAGCAGCTGGACACAAGGTCGACTGAAGAGACTGACGTCGCGGGATACATCGGAGCAAGTCACCCCGCCGGTGGACTTTGTATCTGTGTCGGACTATCCCTCGCCGTCGGTTGAGATCTTCCGACCGGGAAATGTCATGAATATCACGACGACTGTGCAGCGTGAGGAATTAGGCCTAGGGATTGGAGAGGGAAGCCAACTGTCCACTCGAGGCAGCTGTGATACCGATATGCGGGCCAATGATATTCTGGTGCAACAGACATTCCAGATAAACACAGGTCGACCGTCCAGAGATTGGGATCCTTGGACGAACACCAGTGAAGCAGGAGATGACCATGTGTGAAGCTTTAATCTTTTTTTTGTTCATGTATCATGTACCAACTATATCAGCCGTAACAAGACTTAGATGGACTAGAAATACACTGCAATCATACAAAAGAAGGGAAACATATCACTCCAACCGCAGCAGCCCTCCACCAACCCACTATGTCTCATCCCGTTGAGCCCGGCTTCGATTGTCATCGTTCTGCCATGTGTTGGTCAGACTACTGCGACTATTCACATCGTTCTTGCAGTCAATCTGACCATAACATTGGTCGGTGCTGCTGTTCCAAACGCAGTTGTCCTTGTCGAACCTGATATTTCCGGGAACCGATCCACCCCTGGCCAGAGTTCTTGTACTGTGGTAATCGCGGGATTGTTCGCAGGACACCCCAGGCCTAGTCCTTTCTTGAATCCCGGAAGAGAGTACTAGAATTACTGCCGGTTTTGTGGTTCGTTGTTTCTGTGTTCACCTTCATTTTTCCTCCCATCGGCTCTGCCGTGCTTGCATGGGAGCTGCAGTTTTCAAACCTCCAGATCGGATGAGGAGAGGCCTAGCATGGCTGGTAATATCACATCCATCTTGGCTGGGGAGACCTGGAGCTGAACTTGGAGAAGGAATAGCCCTGTCCAGCTCAATAAGCCCAATACCATCCGGTGGCCCCCGCCGCGATCACACCCAGAGTCATTCCAGCTAGCCACCGCATGCGGCGTTTCACTTGCACCGCCAGCCCGGTGTGGTAGCCCTGGAGGGTCTGAATGAAGTCGGCGGCCTCATTGCTCCGGGGGAAGTCCCACGGGGGAGCTTCTTTACCCAAGAAGCGACACAAAGGCTCCCACCCCTCCTTGACATTAAATAACAACAGGCGATCCGCGGGCACAATCCGCTGAATCTCCGCATTATAGCCTTGGTAGAAGTGCAGCCCCCAGTTATGCATGAAGCCGAACATGTAGTGACGATGCAACAGGTCGGATAACCGGTGCAGTCGCGTCTCCGGAATGAAGAGGCGATACACGCGCGCTTGTAAGGAGCGTGTCGGGGTGTGGAACACATCAAACCAGGTATCCATCAGGGTCCTGCAGATGGATGTGAACCACTGCTCCGGGCTGTCGCGCACAGTGAGAATGACCTTGGCGTCTGGGTAAGCTGCCAGCAGCTCGGCGTAGAAGACGACGCAGGGGGTGTCAGTCACGGCCTGGCAGTGCCCTAACAGTTGATCCCATTCTGTGCGCGTGAAGGGGCGCCCTTGACCTTGGAACTTGGCCTCGAGGGCGGCGCACCAGAGGTCGCAGTCCCGGGGGTTCTCATTCATACAGGACGCAAAGTGATAGCAGTCGTCGTATCCCAGGTCGAGGAGGGCTTGTCGCAGGGAGGAGGTGCCGGTGCGCGAGAGTCCCAACCCCAGCACTTGCAGCGGCACCAGGCGTTGGCAAAGGCGCCGGTCAATGTCGGTCGGCGCTTGGTCGGAGGGCTTCCCGACCGTGGCCCGGCGAGTTGGATAGCTGTGCGGCAGTTTTTCCGAGGCCATGTTGCTTCCACGTGGACTCCGAAGCGATGTGTTGGGCTGATTCTTACCCTCCCTCCGTCGGGTCTGCCGCCTAAATATCGAAGCCGTCTTCCATCAGGCGTCCCGAATGTTCGTGTTTGGCGGGCCCTGATTGGTCCCTTCCCGGATTCACGCAGCGCCAAACTGGTCATTCCACAACCCAATCCCAGATGGTTCAGGTAATAGCGACGGGTGACGCGAACGGACTTGCAGTCAGTTCCAGGCTTGTTCATGGACTGACTCTCTTAGGATGGAAAAGGCATCCTCCCTCGACCTGATGGCAATAGTACAATGCGGAAATAGGCACGTGACAGTATGCAATCTTGCCCTACTCGTGGTGAAGTAGCCGTCAAGTTCTGCCGAGTCCCCCGAAGCCACGCCGAAGGGCGTCTGACATTTTATCGGATGGCTGATATATAAGTGGTTCGTTATGATTTATTGATAATTTTCTTAGTAGAGGGGGGGTGCGCAGTAAGTTGCAGTTAGCAGGGGAAAGATGTCTAGATATATCTTTCCGACGGAACAGGGACACGGTTTCTCATTCAAAGTGGGATGCCCGAATTCATCCACCCACTCTCGTACCTATAACCCTCTCAGTGGTTATGCTGAACATCTAATCAATTCCGTCAGCCGGCTGACAGGTGGAGCGGACATAAGCTTACTTCCGCCGGGGAAGCTGACTTCCCCCAACTATTTATATCTGCATGCCCGTCCCCGCCCGGTGGCCTCGAAAATCTTTCAATCCCAACAGCTGCCATCCACCCACATCAACATGAGCCTCATTCTCACCGGTGCGACCGGCCTGGTAGGCTCTGGGGCCTTGAACCACCTCCTCTCCCTCCCACAGGGCCAACTATCCCGGCTGTACATCCTGAGTCGTCGCCCGGTCCCCATGGCCGACAATCATCCCAACGTCACCGTGATCGAGCATCAAGACTTCACTAAATACAGCCCAGAGCTATTATCCCAGCTGAAAGGCGCCAGCGGGTGTATTTGGGCCCTGGGGATTTCCCAGACCGAGGTCTCGAAGGAGTGCGGCGTCCCGCAACCGTCATCAACAGGTTCGAACAATGGCTGACCGAGAAGAACCACAGGGATTATGTGAAGATCACCGTCGACTATCCCCTGGCAGCGGCCAAGGCTTTCTCAACTTTATCTCCATCCTTCAACTTTGTTTATGTATCCGGAGAAGGGGTGAGTATCTCCCTGTTCTTCCATCCCTCTCAACTCCCTACTAAAGGATGATGTATCAGGCCACCCAGTCCCCCGGAATGTTCACCCCATTTTTTGGCGGAATCAAAGGGCGATGCGAGCAAGCCCTCATCCAGCTCTCGGGGGAGTCTCCCAGCCTCAAACCCTACTCCGTCCGCCCAGCCATGGTGGACCCCACGTACGACCCCCAAGTTCTGGAGCCGTTCCTGCAACGGGCCGACCAGAAGACGCTGCCCAAGAAATTGCTGCGTGGAATTCTGGGGCCCACCATCCGAGGCACATATCCGCAAGCCGTGTCACCCACCCAGGACCTCGGGCGGTTCCTGAACGATCTGGCGAGCGGAGATGGGAAGCCGCTCAGCGGGGACGGTGTCACTGGGGACGGGTGGATTATTTCCAACAAGGCCTTTCGTCGGTATGCGGGTCTGTAGTTGGATGCAGGGTGGTTATGTTGCTGCAAGTGGAGTAGAGTGCACTTGAGATTTGCGGAGGAATTCATGTGGTGGGTCGTCATTCGGTCCGTATATAGAGGGGTGGGCGATGCTGTGATTTTGGACGGAGATTGCATTAGACCGGTTTTAAAGATACATAATGTCTAAATGAACCTTAAAGGTATCCGACTTGTTATTCACTAGAGTTGACCCGAACACGTCATACAAGGCGGGGTTGCGTGTCGATCACGGGCCCCGAGCCCTTCGCCTCCGCCCTCATCTGTCAACCCAGCTGTCTGCGACCATCACTGTTCGCCCATCTCTCTGCTCGCAAACTCAATTCCTCTCTCAACCACCGTGACCATATCAAATGATAATGCCTGCGTACCCCCGTCCCGACTTCCACCGTCCCAACCTCAACTGGCTCTCGCTCGACGGCCCGTGGAACTTTCTCTTCGATGACGCGGATCGAGGGTTGACGGACCGGTGGCACCACGAGGGCCTCCCCACCCAGGCAGCCTCCCACGCACGACGCCAGATTCAAGTCCCGTACGCCTTCCAGACCCCCGCATCCGGCATTGGCCTCCATGAGGTGCATGAGGTGCTGTGGTATGAGCGGACGCTGCCGGATATTCGCTTCTCGGATGAACACGCACAAGGAAATCGGCTGGTACTTCGCTTCGGCGCCGTGGACCACGAATGCACCGTCTGGGTCGATGGCCAGCTGGTCGGAGGACATCGGGGTGGCCACGTTCCTTTCGACATTGACGTTTCGGATGCGTTTCGGGCCCAGGGCAACAATGACCCCCACCGGCTGACAGTCCGCGTGACGGACTCGGCCTCGGATCTGGGACAGCTGCGAGGAAAGCAATACTGGGGTCCGGTGCCGCAGGAGATCTTCTATACGCCGACCAGTGGCATCTGGCTGTCTGTATGGCTCGAGAGTGTTCCTCCAGCACGGCTTGGAAGCAGTAGTGAGGGGACGGTGCTACGGTCGGATGATATCCACGGTGGACATCTGCATGCACGAGTAGCCGTTCTGGGTCGTTCGGTCGCAGGCGAATGCGTGGTCGAGATTGAAGCCAGCCTGGCCGGCACGCTGGTCAGCAGCAGCAAACAGTCACTACCGCGGGACAAAGACTGGGTGAACCTGGAGGTGGACATGCGCGTGCCTGAACCGAGCTCACTCATGGGGACTGCTCCATTCAACCGGGATGATTGCTGGCAAGGTAGGGTCGCTCTTTGGGGCCCTGATCACCCCATTCTGTATAGCCTGACACTGCGTCTCTATGATGCCTCGCGTAGTCTTGTGGACGTCGTGGCGACCACTACAGGTATGCGAAGCATCTCCTGGGCTAATGGTGATGGAACCTTCCGGCTGAATGGCAGGCCCTGCTTCCAAACCTTGGTGTTGGATCAGGGCTATTGGCCCGACACTGGATTGACACCGCCGTCACAAGAAGCCCTCCGGGCGGACATTGAGATGGCCAAGAAGATGGGCATTAACGGCTGCCGCAAGCACCAGAAAGTCGAAGACCCCGTGTTCCACTGGTGGGCCGATCAGCTGGGATTTCTAGTATGGGGCGAAATCGCCAACGCATACGAGTTCAGTGACGAATATGTCGATCGCTTCAACCGCGAGTGGGTGGAGGCCGTGCGTCGAGACATCAATCATCCGTGCATCGTCGCGTGGACCCCATTCAACGAAAGCTGGGGCTATCCCTCTCTCAAGGACAACATCGACCAGCGAAATCATATCCGCTCCGTCTATTATCTGACCAAGTGAGTCGGTCCGGTACCATTCCCCTTGTGCCTCAAGAGCGCTAATGCTGGTATGAATGTAGAACGTTGGATCCCAGCCGACCCATCAATGACAACTGTGGATGGGAGCATGTTGTAACCAACCTGACCACCTACCACGACTACTCGGATTCTCCCGCACTGGCCGCATCCTGTGCCGACTTCGAGGGCGGAATTCTCAGCAAGAAGTCGAACCGGGATATGTTTGTGGGTCCCATTACGAGCAAGCCATCCGGTCTCCTCGACCCCGGCGCACGCCATACCCCCGGGGCTCCCGTCATCTGCTCCGAATTTGGAGGCGTGAATATCATTCCTGCCAAAGGCACAGAGGCCGGAGAGCGCGACTGGGGATATACCACTGCCGCGGATCCAGAGGACCTCCTCAGTCGTCTGGAGCGATTGGTCATGGCGGTGGTCAAAGGGGGTCATTCATGTGGTTTGGTTTATACTCAACTGTAAGTTCCCCTTCTTTTATTCTCCGGGCTCGCCTGGTGAAGATCACTTGTTATTCTCTTTTGCTTCCCGGTCGCATAAGTCCGACATAATAGGATGGAACATGTTCTAACTATATATCCAGTTGTGATATTGAGCAAGAGGTCAACGGCCTCTATTCTTACGACCGCAAGGAAAAGGTGCCAGCAGCTCGGGTCAAGGCCATCATGGATGCTGCTCACCAGTACTATCACGAGCATGTGGCTCCGAAGTCAACGCATCAATAGGGAGGTATTCTGTAGGATTTATACAGAAACAGGAGACGATGATGCATAGCAGATCGAAGGCCCAATCAAAATTGTTGAAAGGGACCGGGCAATAGCCGGGTGAGGTCAAGAAGATATATATTAAGCCAGGTATGTCCGTGATGAGGCAACGTAGGCTGCATCGGCTGCCCCTATGAGCCATTTGCTGGGCCATCAAGCATGGGATACTGTCGTGGTGGAGTCACTCTCCCCCGGATCACCCTCTTTCGTAGTCAAATGAACCAGAGAGATCTCATCGTGCTGCCGGTGGCTGCGGTGCGCCGTGTGGGACATCCGATTGGCATATAGCCCCTGACTGGGGGTATGAGACTTATTCGCCGTGGTGGAGAATAATCGAGGGAAGATTAGGTCGATCACCGGCTTGGTGCCGGGCAAGCTGGCAGCGATGATGGAAACCGCGACTTCAATACCTGACGACACCGAGACCCCAAAGGTGCTCCAGCTTGGGTCAGTGCTCTGATACAGCTTGACAATGTAAACCATGCGAACGATACTGGCTATGCAGGCACTAGACCAAGCTTGGTCAGTCCAAGCCCATTCAGGTAGTCGGCATACTTACAATGATCCCAAGGACAATAGACCCACAACCATCAGGCGCTTCTTTTTTCCAACCTGTAGGCCTACTTACGTGAGCTGAATGCTAAAGAATATATAGACTAGCGCTTGAATAATGACCTACCTAGAATGGTCCTAACCGGTAAAATGAGAATCCACAAATCAGTCACCAAGGACAGTGCGGCCGTGGCGTACCAGAATGGGATCGATGCGAAACACAAATAGTGATGGTATTTGTGTGGATTGTAGACCGCGTCTACAGGAGAGCACTGGAAGATGGTTGCGAGAATAATGGCAGTAGTCATGGCGGTAATGAAGGCGATGGTGCCGCGGGTAAGGCCTCGGAGATTCGGGAACAGGCGAAGGTAGAGCAGGCATATGGATGCTTTGATCAGACCGGTGATGAGGGTATACACAATATGGGTGACGTATCGAAGCTGGGCGACATCATACAAGTGATCAGCATCGCAACTATGTCTGGGGATCTTGGCCTACCTTGGCTGCCGGCACCAGGTTCGTGCTGGGGACTGTGCCGTCATGTTTTCCTGTACCATATTTGACCCCTAACGCACCAACAGACATGAGTTTCAAACTGCGCTGGGAGTTCGAGCTATTCACCGAGTCCAGCAATAACGACATTCAGGATCGCTGTAACAGTTGCAGCCGCCATGGTCCAGTCATCCAACCCCAGCCGCTTCACAATCGCAGCTCTCGATACCAATCGCAGGGCCACGACGGCAGCCGCAACTCCAGTCACCGTTCCATTGATGATGACGATTAGGGGTCCACGGTTTTCACTCTGAGTGGACAATTAGCGCCACCGTTATCGCAAAGGTGGATGTGCTTGCCTCGGACCGTGTTTGAAAGCTGTTCTGCATGGCAATGACGCGATCCGCCGAACAGTACGGATAGACTCGACATGTCCCTGTGGCCCAAAGATCGACTTTTGCGCACACAGTGGGCCCGGTTGACCCAGGGGTCCTGGCTGTCTGACCGGATCTAATAAAGGGTCACGGAGGAGAGCTGCCCGACTGGCCGAGGGGTTTACCTGCAGGATTCCGACCACCCACTCTGGTGGCAGCCTCCGCCGCCTTGACCGTCCAAAAGTCTTAGTGTCTGTGAATAATTGCAGGTCATGGTCCTGGCAGCCCCTTCCCCAATACAAGCTCAATAAGTGGGTTCGGAATTCACAACGTCCGGACTGGGAGAGCTTGGCAGGATCCTGGCCTCGTCTTCCGGGATCCCCGGTGGGCTGATGCGATAGCTCCTGGTGGAGATGGCCAGGTGAATTGGACCATTCGGGACCAGTCCAATTTGCGTCAAACCGCTAATGGCGCGGCGGTGGATTGGGTCGTCGATAGTCGGAGCCCGGTCGACTTGGCACGCCAACTTAGGGCTCCGGCTCTGCACCCGGATGTTGAATATCGCCCGAGCCCCCGGAGTGGTCTGCCCTTATTACTCGCGCCATCTTCGACGTCCTTTTTTTGGTACTGTCCTTCTCTCACCCCTCCCTGTCGTGATATCTGCCACCCATGTTTTCTTCCGTTCGATCCGTCTGTCTGGGCCTGTTGTCGGCTTGCCTGGTCTCGGGGCACACCCTCCGGGCCAGCAATGTCAGTTCAAGCTACCGGATTGACGTACACTCCCATGTCATTCCGCCGGTATGGCGAGCGGCCCTGATCGCTGCGGGATACCCCGTGAAGAATGGGACAGTGTATACCGATGACTTCCCCGTTCCCGACTGGACGTTGGAATCGCATCTGGCCACTATGGACACCCTGGGCATCAATTACTCGACCATCAGTGTGAGCGCCCCGGGGGTATACTTCCTCAGCGACCCCAGCGAGGCACACGCGCTGGCCCGAACCGTTAACCTCGCCATGCACAACTACACTCAAGCGTATCCGACGCGACTGGGCGCGCTCTGCCTACTGCCGCTGCCTCATACTGAAGAATCGCTGGCCGAAATTGAGGTAGGTAACTTGTCTGGAAACCCATCTTTCATCTAACCCATTTGATCAGTTTTGCCTGGACACTCTCAAGTTTCCCGGGGTTGGCATGTATACCAATGCCAATGGCACCTACCTGGGCGATTCCTCCCTCGATCCAGTCTTTTCAGTTCTGAACGAGCGGCAAACTACCGTCTTCGTCCACCCGGCAGCGCCGGGCTGTCAGTCGGTGTCTCTGGGCTACCCCATCCCGTTGACAGAATACCCGTTCGACAGCGTCCGGGCGATGGAGAACCTGCTGCTGACGGGGCAAAGAGCCGAGAATCCCGATGTGAAGATGATCTTCGCCCATGGAGGGGGTGCTATGCCCTACCTGGCGAGCCGCATTGCCGGTATGGCCTCCATGTCCTTACTTGGCGGATTGAATGCGACCAAGTCGTTGGCAGAGCTGGCCGGGTACTACTTTGACACAGCGTCGGCCAGCTCGGCGATTCAGCTGGCGGCCATGAAGAGCTTTATCGGGGTGGATCAGATCTTGACTGGGACTGATTGTGAGTCGCGCCTCTGCCCTTTCCCGATGGTTGACAATCCTAATAGAGACCCCAGACCCGTATGTCCCCCTTGTACAGAGCGAGGCGGCGCTCCCTGCCATCCAGGCCCACGGTGACTTCACCGATGCCGAGATGGCGCGTATCAACAATCGGAATGCGTTGTCGCTGTTTCCGCGGGTTGCCGAGATTCTGGCCTATTAGATGATCCACGGACGAATTCATGGTCTATTCCCGTCACGCCGCTGGATGTACCCAACCCAATCTGTACATAATTCACAGAATCCTTGAATCGAAGACCGACGGAAGCGCGACGAGGTCGGGGTGGCCGTGGGATATGGGTGGCCACTGGAGGGATATCCTGTCCGCTGGGATGTCCCCAGTAGACGAGGCAGATAGGTGCTGGCAATGGCCTTGAGGCAGGGTGCACAGGCAGCCATGACAGCGACATGGACCTCGACCGCCGAACTACAGAATCCGATCAAATAGGTGGCATCATACACCGGGTGCGACGGAAAGAAGGCATCGGCGAGCAAGATGATCCGCCAAACTCCGACCCCAGTGGCCCTGCTTTGATTAGCCCTGCCCATGCACTCTATATATAGCCTTCAAAGGGAGTCACTCATACGGCACCCATACATAGAATCACACACACACAGCTATCTTCCTCTTGAGCGGCATCTGCAACGACCAGGTGATGATGATGGGAACGGATAATACAAGCAGGTCGGTGAAGAGATATATTGCTGCAGTAGCAACATAAAAAGCATCCTGATTGATACACGACCCGTTCGGAATGGACAGGTCATATACATATGCGACCGGGCTGCATTGGAAGATGTTGACGAAGAGGACAGTCACGAACAAGGCCACGGTGATGAACATGGTGGATCAGATGAGCAGGTTGACCGGGCGGGAATGGCATTCCAGTCGACGGAGGAAGAGGAGGATAGACACTTTGACCATGGTCAAGCAGGGGTTGTAGAGGAGTTGGTTGGCATAGTTCCACTGGCATATCAGTCAGGTGAGTCGCCTAACATTTTAACATGAGGGGCAAGCATACGATAAGTTCTTGCTTCTGGTCATAGTCCTTGGGGATGTCCCAGATATGGATGCCGACGTAGTTGGTCTTGATGTCTGTCCCAGTCAGCCAAGCCACGGGGTGCATGCCGATGACGATGAGAACATCATCTGCTCGGGTCAGTGTGAATCACCCAAGATGAGGAGGATTGCATACCTCCTCCCAATCGGGACCTCGTCAGATAGCGACTCCAGAGCCGTAGCAGCACCGCGAGGCCTCCCAACACAGGGAAGGCGACCACGATGCCCAGGGCGGTTTTCTGATGGCTGTCATCGATCATCTTGGCCACGGGGGTGATTCCAGCAAGACATTCCCAAGGGATATAAGCAACAGGGCGTAGCAGCGACCATGGCTCCCGGCAGGGATGAGGCAGTCCGGTCAAACTCAAAATCCATAGTCGAGGTCCGACCCGACAATAGCCTCTTAAGACAAAGAATTTATCGCACCAATCGAATCGACACCCGGACAAAGGGATGTCAGCAATCAGCAGTCTCCAAGCTTCGTCCCCTTGGCTGCAGCCTGCTATCCGTCCTGGCCCGAGTACAACCGGACCGAATGCGCATACGTGACCGATGAATGGACCGATTCTTACATGCAGTGAGTATTAGCCCTGACTTTTGTAAATGCAGGAACTGACCATGCAGTGCTGCCGATCCCGCCTCTGTGATGTGGCCCCTGTTTGAAGGCCGCAGTTGTCTGCCACGCGATCTGGCCGTGGGGAACTGCACCCTGGGGGGCTACAGTAGCTACGCCGTCAATGTGAGCACCGTGGCTCAAATCCAACTGGCCGTCAACTTTGCTCGTAATGCAGGGCTGCGTCTGGTCGCCAAAAAACACCGGCCACGACTTCAACGGCAAGTCGACTGGGGCCGGTGCCCTTGGCGTTTGGACCCATAACCTCAAAGACATTGTTTACTACCAGGGCTACCACGTCGGGAACTACAGCGGCCCAGCCGTTAAGATGGGTGCTGGAGTCCAGGCCTTTGAGATCTACGAAAAGGCCAACGAGCTCGGATTTACCGCAGTGGGTGGCGAGGGTAAGACGGTGGGCGTGGAGGGGGGCTACGTCCTCGGAGGAGGGCACTCGCCCATGTCGAGTGTGTATGGCCTGGCTGCCGACCAGGTGTTGGCCCTCGAAGTCGTCCTGGCCAACGGTCGCTTCGTCACCGTCACCGAGCAGTCCGATCCTGACCTGTTCTGGGCCCTCCGCGGCGGTGGTGGAGGTGAGTGTTTGACTCTTCCATCCGTGCATGCATCAACTGACCTCCCCTCCAGGCACCTACGGCATTGTCACCTCCATCATCTCCCGGGTGCATCCCAAGGTGCCCGTCACAGTCGACACCTTCTGGGCCGGGGTACGCGCGTATCTGGAACGCTTCCCCGTCAACGCCGACGCCGGCACGTACGCCTACTTCTGGGTCTTGTCGACGGGCACTGACTCGTTCGAGTTCCTCATGAACCCCTACTTCGCGGTCAACCACACGGTCGACGAGTTCAACTGCCTCATGGCCCCCTGGTTCGACGAGCTGGACCGCCTGGGCATCGCCTTCACCCCCAACACCACCTACTACGACAACTTCTACGATGCCTGAGATGCCGGCTTTCCACTGGAGACCGTCGGGTCCGTGACCATGCTGACCGGTTCGCGACTTTTCCCCCGCATCAACTTCGAAGATCCCAGCCGCTTCAACCAAACTATTGCTGCACTCCGATCCACCGTCTCAGCCGGATACCCCCTGCTGGCCTTCAACCTCAAAGCCGACCTCTCCACGGGCTACGCCGAGAGTTCCGCAAACCCGGCCTTCCGACAGACCCTCATGCACGCCATCAGCTCGACCAGCTGGGCCAGCAACACTACCGACGCGACTATCCTCGCAGACATGAAGCACTTCACCTACGACATCCTGGGTGAATGGCGTCGGACTTGCCCGGAGGCTGGCGTATACATGTCCGAGGCGGATATCATGGAGCCTAACTTCCACCAGGCGTTCTATGGCTCGTAATATGATCGGCTGTATGCCCTCAAGCAGAGGTATGATCCGACGGGACTGTTCTATGCTCCGACTGGAGTAGGGAGCGAGAATTGGCAGGTGGGGAGTTTAGATGGTCTGCCGGATCAGAATGGGCGGTTGTGTCGGGTGTAATTGAGGTAAATGGTGAAGCGGTTGAGAAGTAATTGTAACTGTATATAGATGGTAAAGTGGTGTGGAACATTACTTGTGTTTTCTAACGGGATGCAGGTATGAAAATGTGATCAGAGAAAGATACTGCAAGATATATGAAATAGACATCGCTCGTGCAATCTTGGAGGAAGCACATCTACACCAGAATCTGCAATATCATTCCCACTCCATCCTCAAAACATGAATTGGCTGAGCGTTGCTGCCTCCTCGGCATCCACTTCTTCATCCGGATTCAGGCGAAAGGCCGTCTCCCAGGGCCGATACCCTTCATCCATAAACATGCTCTGCACGGCGCGTCTCCGGATGCCAACGTTTCCCCCATCGAAGATGGGCAGCGCCAGCGCTGTCGAGAGTAAGCTTGCAAATGGTAATTCCACGTTATATGCAGACCTATTATCCCCGTTAGCTACATGCAAGCGAGGATATGAATGAACATACACCCCAACGGCATTCATCGCATCAATGCACGATTGCACCGCCGCATCGGACGAATATATTTTCGCAAGAAGGGCAGGTTCCCGGCGCTCTGCCTGTTCACCAGGCCCCGAAAGCAGACAATTGGCGGCCTTCCATGTCAGCAGTCGGGATGTCTCCGTCCGCATCTTAATATCGATCAGGCGATCTGCCACCGATTGGCGTTGACCGATTGGCATCGTGCCTCGACGGGTATCGCGGGAGAATTCCAGGGCTGCATCGAACACGGCTCGTTGGATGCCGGTTCCCATTGCTCCGACCAGCATTGCTATACCAGTTAGCACCAGTGCATCATCCTAGCATCGGCAGTTAGGGACCAACCGGAAATATCAAACGACTGCGTCACGATCTGTGCGCCTGTACCAGGAGCACAAAGGACGTTCTTGGCGGGCACTCGCAGGTTGGTATACTGGCTGGGTCAGCTCCCCCCGATAATAAACAAGGCTTATGCAGGGTACCTTTATATGAGGTCCAGAGACCGCAACATGCCCCGCCGTTTCCACATGCTTGACAACATGGAACGATCCCACCGGGTTCCGATCGATATCAGCACGAGTGACAAGAACAATCATGATAAGATCGCTCGGACAAGATGCCTGGGCGACAACATCCTCGTCAATGCACCGACACACCACACAGCTCAGATCAGCGCCTTGAAAATCCCACCCGGCTGAGTTTGTCGCCCACATCTATGCCGTCAGTCAGCATATCCATCTATTACCCCCGCACAACGCACCTTTTCTCCATTCAGAACCCATTCATCCCCATCACGATTCGCATTAGTCTGCAGCCCCGGTGCTCCAGGCTCAAGCCAATTCGCCTACACCCGTCATCAGCAATATCCAGACCAACTAGGAACATAAAGCAAGACATACCACCCCACCCGGCTCCGAAAACACCAACGAAGCCAAAGGCGACCCCGTCTTCGACAGAAACGGAGCTAGAAACTCCTGCACCTCAGGCCTATACGCCAAAGCCAACGGAGTCAATCCCAGCCCGGTACCAAAAATAGTCAACGATGCCGACGCCTCAACGGCATAGAACTCCTCCACCAGAAGAGCCGCTTCCAGTATATTTTTACTGGATCCGCCCACTGCCGAGGATACCTGAGCCGTAAGCAAGCCGTTCTTGACGGCGACTTCATAAATCGATCGGAGGGACTGGAATCGGGCTTCTGGGGTGGGGAGATGGGTGTAGGTGGCGGCTGCGCTGGCTAGGTGCGTTGCGGCGAAGATGCGAGCTGTGCCTTGGGCTTGCGCCTCTGAGAAGGAGAGTGTGAATTTGACCATGATGAAGTGATATCTTGCTTAGGTCTCTGGGGAATGGTGTGAGGGAGGGTGGAAAGGAGGGAAGGGAAGATGCAGGGTGGGTGGGATGGATGGCTGCAGATTGACCCCGCTTTGGCAACGGAGAGCCTCGTATCACCCACCCGCGCGGGCAGTCCACCAATACCACAGCAGGATCAGCAGGATTTGACTAAGGCTCTGTGTAACGTGGGTCTCTCTGTTGGGTGATTTTACAGTCGTCATTATAAAAGCATGGGTTATTAAAGCAGAAATGTTGGTTGAGAAGATGTAGACAACCACCTGGCGGGGAATATATATTCAAAGACCACCTAGGGGAGATTAAGGTACGATGTATTGAAGGTCATGAGATCCAATGTTCGACACATATATGCCTTTCCATAGGTTGGATCTCGGTAATGGTGGCAAACCCTCCCATGCCGTCCTATTCTGTGTCCCTAATGTAGAGCAATGAGGGTCCCACCGGATCTGCCCTAATCTCTACCGCCCCCCTAGCAAGCACTCGTGATATTGCACGCCAGCTTCTCTGCAATGGCATCTGCAACAATTAGCTTAAAAACGGATTGTATCAGTTGGTAGACTTACAAACGGTCGACTGCGGGTGTCCCGGGGGCAAAAAAGGAAAAATCGAGGCATCGATCACCCGCAAGCCCTGGACGCCCAGCACACGCGCCTGGGTATCTACCACGGCCATCGGATCCTCGGCACGACCCATCGCACACGTCGAGGAGGCATGTCGGACCGTCATGGCATTCCGCCGGATCGAATCCTCGATCTCCGCATCGGTCTGCACCTGGGGCCCCGGATAGACCTCCTCCCCGATTTTAACAGGTGCCATGGCGCTGGTATTCCACAGCTGACGCGCCCGCTTGAACGCGGCAACGAGGACCTCCATGTCCGCCGGCGCCGTCAACCAGTTGGGATTGACCAATGGCGGCACAGAGGCATCCGGCGAGGAAATTGTGACATTTCCCCGGGACTGCGGCGCCACGAGAGCAAAAGACATGGCGGCATAGTTGTAGCCATCATGGGGGTCCTCCTGGGACGGGACATTTTGTGGCCCAACGTACGACGACGGGAAGAGATACTCGACCTCGGGCCAGTCTGCCGGCATCTGCGCCAGTGTCGTCAAGGTCTGGTTGGAGAATTGGGCCCGCAGGTCGCCGGGGATTTTCTCCCATCCCATGACATCACTGCTGGGACTGGTATACATTCCCGTCGCCTGTTCGTCGAACTCTTGCGCCGCCTGGGCCGCAAACTCGGGGTCCCCCATCCTGGAAGCCGTGATCACATTGACTCGATGTGAGGCCGCGGTGTAGACATGGTCATGCATATTCTGGCCCACCCCCGGCCGATCGGCCACGATGGGGATCCCCAGCCCCTCGAGGCTTGCAGCCGGTCCGACCCCAGACACCAGAAGCAGCTGGGGCGATCCAAAAGCGCCTGCTGAGAGGATGACCTCTTTGGTGGCATTCAGCTGGTAGCTAAGTCCGGCAGTTTCCACCACCACCGCCGAAGCCTGTCGGTCCTTAGTGAAGAGAACCCGTTTGGCCATGGTGGAATGATAAACGCTATAGTTGGGCCAATCGAGGGCCCGTCGGAGAAAGGCGGTTTCAGACGAATCCCGTAGCATAGTTGTCGCGTTAACAGTGAACAAGGTGTATCCTTGGCCCAGTAATTCTCCGCTCTGCAAGCCGGGAATCTTCGAGATGCCAATGGCTTCCAGCCCTTGGATGGCCCACGAGCTGAAGGCCTGCACGTAATGAGGGTACGTCACGGAGAGCGGATTCGAGCCATTTCCTAAGACGCTGGCATCGTACCACGGAGTCCCGTTGTCGAACCGCAGAGACATGTCCGGCGGCGTGAAGCGAGTGCTCTTTTCAAAAAAAGGCAGCAGGTTGTCGAATGTGAAGCTGTCATCTCTTACCAAATCCGCCCACTGCTGGTAGGCTCCGCGGGTGGCTCGATGGTAGACCATGGAGTTTCGCGCTGATGTACCTCCCAGGCACTTTCCTCGCGCATAATGTGCCTGCGTGCCATATGTGCCCTATGTTCGCGCATTGGTTAGCGGACCTTCTCCGTTGACCAGCATCCCACACGTACCGCCTGCGGAGTCGTCATAGTTCCCCAGTCAATCAGGGGCTGCCAATCGGTCGGAGACCGTCCGGTAAATTGGTTGGTGCTGGCTGGCACCTGGCTAAGATTGCCATTGTCGATTTCATAGAAACCACCGGCCTCAACAACAGCCACGCTGCCAGCCTGCTGCTCGGCTAATCGCGTAGCCAGTGTCAGACCGGCAGTCCCCCCGCCAACCACGATGTAATCAAAGGTGGTATTCTTGCCCGGAACACCAAACGACGATCCCAACGGCGGTGGCTTGTCCTGGACCGCGGTTACGGACCCGGCCAGCGCGGCCCACCAAATGCATGTCTGACGAAGGTGCATCGTCGGCAAGTGGAAAAGTGGATTCTTCCATGGATCCGCCGGACAAAGATCGTGCGGAGGGGCTGGACTGGCGATGGGCGTCGCATCCGGGGTTTAAATGGGCAGGAATGTGAATTTGCCCCGTGGATCTTTTCCTCCTTCCGCTTGCGGCTCTAGAGAGGGTGTTGCGTCAGACAGTCAAGCATCTGACCGGGCAGCGCAGCTGAACCCTGACTCATCGTGCCTCTGGGCCAATCATGGCGGACTGGGGATCAGATTGACCTGCTTGCGGACATGGCCAGCATGCCAGCTCCGATGACTCCACGATGCGTGACAGTGCTGGGCCCTTGGCACAGGCTGGGAATGTAGGGCATCCACTACAAGGCCGAGGAGAATGAATCCGACCGGGGCACAAACAATGGCATTCATAACAATGTAACCATCATGCGTGGCTATCAGGCGACAGGAAATTCATCGCGGCACGGCATACTTCATCCACAGGGGATCATGCAGCAACTTGTGCAGACAACTCTCCTCCACCTCCACTAAGACCTCCATGACCCCATCCCGTGGCACTGGCAGGACCAGCTGCAGCCCATTGATGACCCCGATGGAAGGGGCTCGCACCGCGTCGATTCGATCGCCCAAGATGGGCCCCCACTCCAGCGAATACAGTTGGAAATTGATCCACGAGGTCTGCACACAGTTGAATCCCGGGACGTCCAGAAAGGCCGTAGGCACCAGCCGATCGACATCCTCCAACTGCTCAATCAGGGCCGTCAGGTCATCGGTAAATTGGTTGGTCGCGCGACGCACTTCGGTTCGGATCAGGATGGCCAGGTCAGCCAGCGTGGCGGAGCCCAGGATCGTGCGGATTGGCGCAGGTACCCCGAGATACTCCAGGAAGCATCCCAAAGTCTGGGGATGCACGCGCGGGTCCGTCCGCAGACGTCCATTGATGGCGAGGTTGAACACCGAAACCGGATTGCCTTGGAGGGCTTTCAACGGCCACTGCACCGCCATCACCGTCCTCCACAGCAGTGCCGATAGGGCGTCATTCGTGGAAATCCACGTCAGATCAGTTGCACCGGTCGCATGAGCAGGGGACGCCGCCTCCTTCAACGCCGCCAGTGATTCGGGGGAGAAGTAGAACACATGGGTGCGATGGTTGCGAGCCAGCATCTTTGGCGGCGCCCCGGCAGGAGCACATGGCAGTAGAGTATACTGAGGGTGGTTCTCAAGCAACCCCGGATTACGTCCAGATGCCCGCATCACCAGCTCTCGGTCTTGGAAGATGGCCTCGGGGAGTTCGACCGGGTGAGGGATCTTGAGGCCTTGGGCACGACGACACTCCTCGGCCCAGATCTTCATCCACATATAGTACGAGGTGCCGTCGCCCACCAAGTGCAGCGTACACCAGTTTAATAACAGACCCCCTGGGATAAAGTTGGCCTGCAAGAGAGAGACAGGAAGTCGCTCGCCGGGCATGGGCCACACGGACCGGCGGCACAGCACATCAGCATCAAAATAAGCCACCGGGAACGCCTTCGACTGAAGCTCCGCGTAGGTGGCGGGGAATGCGCCGGGTGCTCGCAGATCACGGACCACGGACCACTATGTCATCGATATCTCCATCCTGGAGTCGTTGAAGGCGGAAAATGCCGGCCTGCTGGGAGGTTTCATCCGGAACTGCCTCGCAGCCCATAACCGGCAGGCGCTTCTTGGTGGCCGCATAACTGACTTGGAGCACACGCGTCACCGCGTCGAGGTCATAGTGGTCTCCGAGGGGAAATGGAAAGATGTCTCGGACATACCCTTTAGGACCAATGCGCTCCAGGGGTGTCAGTGTGGGAATGGCGTTGGGGTCGGCTATGGAGCCCATGATGAGGGCAATGGTTGGAATGGGATATTACAAATCGGTTAGATTGTTAGCAGGGTTACCCCGGGATAGATGGTCAGTTTCTCAACTGGCGATTTCTGGGTTCAAATAGTCCCTCCACCATCAAATGACTAACCAGGGTGTTGATAAGGGGGTTCCTGACCCAACAGCATGCCTTTGTGCCGGTAAATGCACGCCTGAGATTTGAGGGGGTTACTGATATCGCAGGCAATGTCTGGAAAGTATTGGCTCATTGGATGGGGTTGACAGGCATCCTAATCGGACGCGCGACGGACCATCGGCCAGCGCATCGCAATGCGAGCTAAGCATCGCTAGTCGATTTTAGCTGGCTCCAAGCCGGTTTGCCCCCGGTTGCTGCGACGGTCTGTGCTCCAAAGAAGTGTGATCAGCAGTCTACCCCGGTCTTCTGTAAGCACTAGTCGAGGTGCCATGCTAAATTGGACTCCGTACTATGGGCCTAAGAAGCCCGGCTGGGAAGGTCGGCCGAGGGATGCGCCAGGACTGTTGGCTTCTGGTGATTAGAAAACCCCCTGCTTCCCATTCAGCGAGAAAGGGGTCTTTCTACTGCTCTCCCTGTGTCATGTCGACCCTCCAGTCATGATTATGCTATCTGTTCAGCTTTTCCGAGTTGACTCGAGCGTGCAGGCGACAGCACGGCAATTATAGACAGCCAACCTGACATCCTCTGTGCAATACTAGGCAGCGTTGGTCTCCTGGCACGCTGGCGATGGAATCGAATCCCGCCATCGTCGCCATCTTTGGTCAACCCCCCGTCAACATCAATCTGGCTGCTACTCAGGTTTCTCGCGACAATGCCGCCGTCCTTGCCATGCTGTGTCTCGGGGTAGTGGCCGTGATCCTGCGCTTTATCACACGGCTCGCTCTGCGCAATCCCTTCCGGGTGGATGACTGGTTGATCCTGGTGTCTCTGGTATGCATGTATCCATCGACTGTCCCTTCAATGGCCCACAATAACCTGCGTCGTCCAGATCTTTGTCGGCGCCACAGCAGGCCTCAGTATAGCAGGTAGGGGGTGACCTATCGCTTCTTGAGCTTCTATCGAACCTATGCACGCCGCTAACTGAGGATGGGCATCGTTGCAGGCGGCACATTTGGTGCAGGGCGACATGTCTGGGCAGTCACCTTGCCGGATTTAACCAGTATCTTCAAAGTTGGTCACTGTCTATCGCGCGCTGACCTGGTCAGCTAACCGCCTCGGCCGGTCCTGTTCACCTATACCTTCGTTTATGCAGCCGGATGCTCAGCATAAAAACTCTCCATTCCGTGCTTCTACCGCCGGGTATTCGATGTGATTCGCCAGGATCTTTCCTTCCGCTTGCCCATCATCCTCGGCTTTACCCTTGCACTTTCCTATCCGATCATTGTTTGGGTAGCCATGGGCAATTCTTGTCGGCCCGTGTCATACTTTTGGAACCAGTTCAATGGCGCCTCGGGGACGTGTATCAAGACGGATACCTTCTTTCTCGCAACGGCCATCATCAACATGGTGAACGACATCGTGGTCCTGGCAGTGCCCTTTCCACAGATTGCCAAACTGCAGATGAATCGTCGGAAGAAGCTGGCAGTCTGTGCAATTCTAGCATTGGGGAGTTTGTGAGTCACCCCCTTGTTCCCCCAACAACAAACTAACCGGATACTGCAGCGTATGTGTGGCCAGTGCAGTGCGGATATATGTCCTCTACCAGTTCACCCAGGCTCGTGATGTGACCTGGATGATGGGGCCAGTGTTCATCTGGTCGAGCATCGAGCCATCCGTGGCCATCGTCTGCGCGCGTCTCCCACATCTGGCTCCCTTGGCCCGTTTGGCTCACCTCCAACTCCTCTCCACTCGCGGGGGTAAGAGTGGGCAGCCCACATCGCCGAGTTTGCCATGGCGATCGCGACGTAGTGGGGATCCAAACGTTGCAACAGTTGGTTCCCGACCGAGTCAGTTGGCCGCGGGGCGATTCGACCGACCAGGCCTGGAGAGATCTGAGGACGAAATTAGGTTGACGAGCAAGGTCACGGCCAGCACAGTGGTGCGCTCCCGGCGCTCGCTCGACTCTGCCCCGGAGGACCGTCTACCTGGCCAGTTCATTGTAGTGCAGTCCAGTTTCGAACAATCTGCGTCCAACGCGAAGCATGGCCAGTGAAGCACGAGGGATATGGTTGTTATGAGGGATGAGTGGGCTATCGGGCTAGGGAATGTATGGAGAATGGAGCTTCTGATATCATGGGATGGATGCCCAGTATGGCAGAAGAGCACATTTTGATTCAATATCAACGAGGCCATGAATGTCGGATATCCAACTTTGCTCGATTGAGATATTCAGTTACACTATCCGCTACACAATTCCGGGGACGGACCGAGTAGAAAGCTATTCACTTGTCTGGCAGCTGATCAGCAGTCGAGCACTCTTTGAACAATCACTGGAGATCTCGTGATGAGTGGCATTGTCCAATAAAATCCGACAGATACAGTCTTTTGGTCAATGAAATACATTCCCTGTCCTCATCTGCTCAAGATTCCGATCCCTTGACTACCACAGGAAAGCTACCACTGCCCACTTCGCTCTCGTCCTCCACCCACACCAGCGCATACACCCCGTCCGTGTCCGTGCTAGACGCCCAGAATTGTGCCTCTAACTCGGTGTTGTTGTTGTAGACCAGCTGCGAGGCAAACAGCGCGAAGCCCGTGACAATTCCATCGACCGCCGCAGCCCTGGCATAAGGCAGCACCCCGATGCTGTTGTCGGTTTCGGGCCGGATGTATAGCGAACCAGCACGGGTACCATTGACAAAAGTCCCGTTGACAATCCAGCACTCGTCGGTGATAGACGGTAGGCCCCAGTACATGGGAGTCAGGTCGGCGGCAGTATCATCTGGGTTTTGGGCAATATACAGCAGACCTAATCATACGAGTCAGCAACAAGATGGTATTTCGCGGTGAAAGGGCTAGGAGGTACTTACCATCGCTGAGCCCATAAGCAATTGGCCAGGCAGAAGCATTGGCACCATAGGCATAGAGAGTGGCATTCTGCTCCGATCCTCGCTTGACATGACCCCAAACCCCGCCGATGCCGGCCTGCATGACGACGAGAGGGCACAGAAGGCTGCACCACTTCATTTGGGATAATTGGATGGAATTAGACAGAATAAGGTGAAGTAATGAGGATTATCCCAACAGCGAGTGAAGGTTGAGTTCAAATGGACCGGACAATCATCCCAATTATACGCCACGATTGATCTCTTCTGGTCTGCTGCGTGAGAAAGCTGCATTCCGCACCAGACGACGGTCTCAAGTGTATTCTGGGGCTTAGATCTACACGGGCCCGCTGCATACGTGGTTCCCATGCCACACGGGCTCTCTCAAACTTTATTGCCGGCGACGCGCATGCAAGTAGGGCTGAATGGCATCTATTGCCCGCGTTCCAAGCAGTTTGACGGGAATCTATCAAGCTTAAAATAGGTCACGGCCCAGAGCGAATCAGAGTGGGCATAGGAGTGGCGACGATTACGTCTCAGGACCACGCGAGCCGTGGATGGGAAGCCATTGTGTCCTGCCAGCCGCCCCGCCGTTCATCTTTGCCGCATGAGGCCGAGATGGTCCCGCCGGGTTTCAGATTTACCCGGACTATCTATCTGGTTGACTGTTGATCTACAAGAGACAGCACGAGATCTAGTGAGTCTGCGGACATGCTCCGCACGTACTGCCTCTAGAATTTCGGCCGTGTGACTATGTTCCGTTGCTGACACTGTCCTGGGATGCCACAGGATGCTGTGCTACATAGCTTCTAACTCTGTTGAAGGGCTTGGAGCAGCCGGCGTCAGTTGTTAATCTATCGCAATGCTAAAAGCTAGGGCTGTCATGTCTAAATATTAACCCGGTTCTGGTCCGTGCAATTCCTGTATCCCAGCAGTGCCATGCCCATGTCCTGAACGCCAAGTCCCGGCTGGATGGAGTAGCAACGCAAGCAGGGCTCGCACGCGTGTCACAAGTGGACCTGATGGCACTAAGATCTGCCCGATGTATGTGGTTGAAAAGGGCAGGTAGACTAGGTGTCATAGATCGTCAGTGGGGAGCCAAGCAGCCATAGCCTCAAACAATTCCAAGACCACCATCAGCTGAGGCCCGTGGGCACCATCCCAACCTTTTGGAGTTGCTTGGACTTGTGGGATTGTATATAACATCAAGTATGTAGCACCTGGCCTATTGATATGATCCATCATCATCACTCTCCGTCTGATTGGTTGCCATTCGTTCGATATCATACCTTTCTATCCTTCCTTTGTCATCCTATCTCTCTGTAACCCCTTGACAAACTCGGTCTCTCTTTTATCTTCTTCCAGGCGCATCCGCCTAATACCAGAATCATGCGAAATTTCATTCCTTTCATATTGTCTTCATTGTCATGCGCCCTGGGAGCCTCCCTCCCAAACACTTCCCACCCTGAGGCATGTATCAACAGCCCTACTAACCGCGCATGCTGGCGCGACGGATACAACCTGTCGACCAACTACTACGAGGAGGTCCCCGATACCGGCGTAGTGCGCGAGTACTGGTTCAACGTTGAAAACACCACAGCAGCTCCAGACGGGGTTGAGCTTCCTGTGCAGCTGATCAATGGCTCTTTCCCAGGACCCACCATCATCGCAGACTGGGGAGATACAGTTGGTACGATTCCTTTCCCAGGCTACGGTATCTCGCTTACTTTGGTAGTGGTACATGTCACCAACTCTCTGCAGACAAACGGAACTGGTATACACTTCCACGGGATTCGTCAGAATTGGACGGACCAGATGGACGGCGTTCCCAGCATCACCCAATGTCCCATCGCTCCCGGACAATCGTATACCTACAAATGGCGCGCGGTGGAGTATGGCTCTGGCTGGTATCACTCGCACTTCTACGTCCAGGCATGGGACGGTGTTTTTGGGGGTATCGTGATCAATGGCCCTGCTACGGCCAACTACGATGTGGATCTTGGACATCTGTTCCTGAATGATTGGTATCATGTATGACATCTCGGTCCCTTGTCACTCCCCAATGGCGATAGCCTCTGAACTGACCGGTAGAAAACTGCCGATGAACTCGTCCTGCAAGCGTCTACCAATGGACCACCTACACCTCCTAACGGTCTAATCAACGGAACCAACACCTACGGCAGCTTAGGGTCTCGTTTCGAGACAACATTTGCTGCGGGAACCAAATACCGTATTCGCTTGGTAAATGCTGCAGCGGACAATCACTTTCGCTTCATGATCGACAACCATACCATGGAGGTGATTGCGGCGGATTTCGTCCCAATTCATCCCTACAACACGACCCAGCTAAGCATCGGCATGGGCCAGCGCTACGACATCATCGTGACAGCCAAGGAGCTGACCAGCGGCAATGTCTGGCTACGAGCGATTCCTCAAGAAGCTTGCTCCGAGACGGACGCTTTAGACAACATCAAGGGCATCATCCGCTACGACAACTCATCCACGGCCGACCCCACCACCATGGCATACAGCTACACAGATTCCTGTGCAGATGAGGCAGCGTCCAATCTCGTGCCCTACCTGGCCATCAACGCCTCGGACAGCTACACATACAGCACCGACGAGGAGGTCGCCGTCCAAGTCACCGACAACGCCCTACTATGGACGATGAACAAAACCTCCTTCCACACAGAATGGGACTACCCAACCCTAATGCAAGTAGCAGACAACAACCAAACCTGGAGTGCCAAGGAGCGGGTCATCCACCTCCCCTACCAAGACAAGTGGGTATACATTGCCGTTCATTCCCCGTTTGCGCAGGACCATCCGATGCACCTGCACGGACACGATTTCTGGATCTTAGCCTCGGGGTATGGCAACTTCGACTCATCCCAGACAGACGGCTTGACGCTGGTGAACGCCCCTCGGCGCGATGTGGCCATGATGCCTGCTAGTGGGTACTTGGTGATTGCGCTCAAGACCAATAACCCCGGTGTAAGTGCCTTCCTATCCCGCCCCGAATGATGTGAGTGACTGATGAAACAGGCGTGGCTCATGCATTGCCATATTGCTTGGCATACTTCTGAGGGCTTTGCGGTGCAGCTGTTGGAGCGGGCCTCGGAGATCGAGTATGATTATGACACGCTGAACAATACCTGTGCGAGTTGGAAGAGCTATGTGGCGGCGAGGGATGTGACTCAGCATGACTCGGGGGTATAAATTGAGATGGAATCAGAGTCTTTATTAAGACCTGCTTTTTTAAAGGAAGGGTTTGCTGCTCAGATGTTCGATCACTCTTGGTAAAACAGGGTTTTGTGGATGGGTGGATGGTGGATGGATCGGTTCATCCCGCCGACGGCGCTAAAGGGACTAATTGTCACTGCCACGTCTAGCCTCGATTGTCACTCAATGATGTCCACCAAACACCGTATGAGATTCTGTCAGTGGGGACACTCAATTAATGGCGCGTAGCTACTGTCAAGTGTCAACAATAACCCAGCACCCCAGCAACCCAGTAACGGTAGAAATATCCGGTCAATGCCGTACAATACGTTCCATACCGTACCACCATCTGACTCAGCGGTAAGCACACGCGTAACAATACACCTCCGGTACGGATATATATAGCAGCCCTTCATTGCTCAACCCACCCAACAGGCTAACCACCATGGCGCGCCCCTTCAACCCCCCCGATTATTACAGACTGGACCGTCGTTCATCGGTAGAGTCCAATGCACTTTTATCCGTCTCCGACCTGGATGAAGATGACTTGGTGCCACTCCGAAGAAAATCCGCGCAGGCCCGCGGAGGGCTGTGGTCCTGGTGCAGGGCGTGCTTCCGACTCTTCCGTCGCGGTAGCGCTGGTCGCAATGGACGGCGACTCGTGGCTCTGATCCGCCTGGTTCTTGGGTTCCTGATCGTGCTCGTCGCGGTGACGGGGATATTCTGGCCCTCGTATACACACTTGCCTCCTCACTACCAGGCTCTCCGCAGATCAGCCGCCCAATCCAACATCAGCGGTCCGGGGAATCCCCACGACGAGAAGATCTTCGTCGCCGCCATTCTGTACGACCAGGAGGGGGAACTAGCAGGCGGTAGATGGGGAAATGCCTTGCTACGGCTAATCTACCTCCTCGGCGAAGACAACGTCTTCCTGAGTATCTACGAGAACGACGGAGAAGCCAAGGGCCACCAGGCCCTTCGAGATCTAGAGCGCAAGCTGCCATGTAACAGGTCCATTCAAATAGATCCGCATCTAGATCTGAACACATTCCCAAGGGTTATAGCCCCGGGAGGGGCGCAACGCATCAAACGAACCAACTACCTGGCCGAGCTGCGGAATCGCGCTCTTCGCCCTCTGGACGAGCACCCAGAAATCAAGTACGATAGAATTCTCTACCTCAATGACGTCATCTTCGATCCTATCGACGTACTTCATCTCCTTTTCTCCACCAACAGCGATCAAAACGGGGTAGCCCAGTACCGTGCGGCATGTGCGGTCGACTTTAGCAACCCGTTCAAATTCTACGACACCTACGCCACGAGAGATCTGGATGGATACGGAATTGGACTTCAATTTTTTCCGTGGTATACCACGGCCGGTAGCGGTCAGAGCAGAAGGGATATGCTTGGAGGGAAAGATGCCGTGCGTGTTCGCAGCTGCTGGGGAGGGATGGTGGCTTTTGATGCAAAGTACTTCCAACGACGCGACAACCCAGTGCGGTTCCGCGCCGACCCAGATGTATTCTTCGATGGATCCGAATCCTGCATCATCCACGCCGATATCCAGGATCCCCCTTCAAATGACAAGGAAGTGCACGACAGCGGCATCTACATGAACCCCTTTGTTCGAGTCGCATACACGGAACGCACCTACTCCTGGCTATGGCTAACCCGGCGATTCGAAAAGCTCTATTCCATTCCTCATAACCTTGCAAGCCAGGTGGCTGGGTTCCCCCGGGCTAACCCCCGTCGAAGCGAGACTCCCGGCCAGGTGATCAAAGAGACCCTCTGGGTTCCGGATGCGACAGATACCCGTGGGGGCGCATTTCGAGAGGTAGATCGGGTAGCGGGGAATGATGGCTTCTGTGCGGATGGATTTGGCGGATATCGTGGGCTGCAGGTGATTGTGGAAGATCGAAAACCAGGCCAGGGTGGATGGGAGGAGATTCCCTTGCCATTGAATTAGCTGGTAACCCTATATTCCAACTACCGACAATAAACGCGAGTACTGTTACAATAGACCGAATACCAAACATACTGCATTAGCTGAACTGAATTAACTTAATAACCCCTTAGGCACTTTCGACCAATACCGACACCTGCCAAACACCGTCCGACAGAACTTGCCATACTCGACGCGCAGGTTGAATGCTCGCCAGGAGCCTTGCGCGCGGTGCAGCAGACGAGCAGAGGGGTCAGTAATAGGCTTAGACCCCATGTTCCCATACGCCCCTCGACCAGGACTACCCTAGTTAGCAAGCAAACCTCCACAAGGGGACAAAACATACCTAAACCCCGTAATCGGCAACACCAACACATCCTCCACCAACTTACTTCTCCCCCCATCCTGCAACCCAGACAACGCATTCCACCGCAGCCCCGTCATCGTACCCAGCCAGCTCTGCACCGCGTACGTGAACGCCACTGGCCCCGTCAACGCAATGGGATCCAACGCCTGCAACTCACTCTGCGTCGACTGTGCATGAAGCTGTCCGGCATGATGAGCAGAGACCGTCTGAATCTCCCCGAAAATATGATCGATGAAAACCTGCAACACCGGGTGACCCGGCGCCCAGGCAAAAGCCCATTGCGTCAACTGGGTAGGGAGGAGATATCCCATCCTCCAGTAGGTGTCACTGTCGGGGGGACAGTCTGCTTCTAATCCGACAATGGCTTTAACTGGACGCGTAGAGGTGGAGGTGTATTCGCGACCGGTCTCGGTATCTTTCCAGGGTTCTAGATCCGATTGTGTGATCCACGCTGCGGGGGATTGGAGGGGTTCGGTGTCGATGTCTGCGTACTACTCACCACTCCTTGTCAGTATCCCAACGGCATACAATAAGTAGAGCTGGATGGCATACCACACCCCCAATCCACTTAGCCACCAACACCCTAAAAACATCCGACTGCTCGACATGACTCGGCAACGCATAGAACTGCTCCTCTAGCTCCGGTTCAAACCGTCGAATAAACTGCGCGATGCCCTCATCATCCCAGAGAAAATAAGCCATCTGGCCATTGATCACTCGCAGCCATCTCTCCGTGCTTTGTTGGATCTCATGTGGCCAAGTATCCACCCGGGTGTTTTTCCAGGTTTGATGGACGATCAATGGGATGGAGGAGTGAGGGATCTGGTATTCGACTGTCGAAAGGGCGGCGTGGGAGGCTTGTTCGGCTGCGTCGACGATATTCTCGGGGGTAGGGTTGGTGGTAGTGTTGGAGGTCCAGCCTGCGGGGATATACCATGCTAGATATCGTGGATGGGTTAGTTAGTTCGGGGTGTTTAGCACCTATCATGGCAGTAGACTAACCTCCACCAATAGCACTATTCGTATGAACACGTTGAAAAAGCAGAGGGTATCGATGCTCGAGCAGGGATATCTCCTGCACAGAGGTATCCGGACGATAGAAGAACCAAGTGAGCAGAACTACCAGAGTTAGCGCGGCCAACACCGGCCGGCGTAGTAAGTAGCGGGTAATCATGAGGAAAATGTCTCGAAGCGTAGGTTGTAATTGGGTGTGTCAGCACGAGGTTGTCTATAATAATAATATAAGTAACCGACTATGGAAGCGAAGCGAAGCCATGGTAAAGATCCATCATCGGAGCTTGTCTTCTGAATCTGCCCCTTTCACGACTTCACCCCACTGGGCACTTGAGGAAGGGAGGCTGTGTGGTAATGGTAAAACCCGATGGTGACACAGAAAAATACGGTTGCCTAACGGATGGCCCCAAACAGAGGGATTAATTCCTGCGGCATCGAACCCTGCCGCCAGGCTGTCAGACTGTCTTTCTCTTTGGCACTTGGCAGAGTGTTTGTCCCACCATGCCCGGATGGGATAGTCACCCTTTCACTAGACCCTGAGGTGGAGGGTTTGCGAGGTAGAAAACTGCCATTGGCTCTGGTGTGTCCATAATCATCCGAGCCGGCCAATGGCAACTGCTGCGCCTCGCACGGTGTCCGTCGGGGACATATCAGACCAATAAAGAGACGGAAATGTCATCAGGGCCCACGCCCTACGCAGCCCTAGCCGCGGTGGGTCGATGCTTGGTATCGCTTGGTGAAGACCCTTCCTTTGCACTGCCTCTCTGGCAGGGCAGTGCAGATGGTTGCTTCTGGTTTTTCCTCATGATGGTGGACCCGACTATCCCGAATTCAGGCATTGTGGGGTCGTCTTAATAATGGTAAATGCGGTCAGTCGACCGATGCTACTCTATAGATTAATGTCTCAGCTGAGCCTCATCGCCAAGGTGCCAGCGAACTTTCCAAGGACTTGTCCGTTTGTTGTGGTGCGGCGGTCCTTGCGTGGTTTCTAGAGTGATAGATCACTCGATTGATATCTGTGGGTAATGTATTTGCGGTGAGGGCAATAGTTCATATTATGTCTTAGCTGAGCCTCATGAAACCTTCTTCCGCTACCTCAGCAGTCTGTGGGTGTAAGCAGACCCACGAGGTATTATCGGAGGAAACCTCGGAATGACAACCGTAGACGCCAGGCAGCCCCTGACCAGGGCATGGTGAAACCAGGCTGCAGTACGGACAATACCGTGCTGCAGACGGTATTACCCGTCAGGTATCGATGGTATGGAAGCCGCGGATCCCACCCAGTCGGATATTCCCTGGGCATGCATGGCATTCACCGGCTGTAAAAATCATACCCTAAAAACTTCACCTGGGCCTCATCTACGGTGCCTAATGTTATGTCCTTTTCTTCCTGCTTGTCCTGCTCCAATTCCTCAGACCATGCACCTATTAATCGCCAGCCATGGCCCACACTCGCATGCGACTGCTCTTGGCAGTAATCCTGCTCTTCATTCTGACCTGTCTTCTGGCCCCATTCCTGTGGAATCTTTACCTCCTCCTCCGACTACCTTTCGTCTGGAAAGGTTCCTCGACAGATGCCATTGTTACCCAGGAGCATGATGCATTCGACCCAACCTTTGCCGCCTACGACAGCAGCTATTCCACAGCTGACTCCGGCCTCCCCGTCCTCATCCCCGCGCGACTACACCACGTCCACCTAGGCCCAGAGCCAATCCGGCCCGAATGGAAGACAGCTCGCGACGAATGTCTAGCGCAGCATCCCACCTGGGAATTCTTCCTCTGGGACGACCGAAATGCCACCCGCTTCGTCCAAAACCATTACCCGCATTTCCTACCCACCTGGGACAGTTACACCCATCTGGTGCAGCGGGTAGACGCTCTACGATACATGATTCTGCATACTTACGGAGGTACACACCCTTCTTATCTTCTACCATATCACCATAACCCCCAACCGAAAAACTAACCCATTCATCCTAGGCGCAATCCTCGATTTCGACCTCGCGTGCAAACGCCCCCTCGAACCCCTCCGACGCTTCGACTTCGTCGCCCCAGCCGCCAACCCCGTCGGCATCTCCATCGGAATGATGCTGTCGTCACCGAATAATACCTACGTGGGGGATTTAGTCCGAAACCTGCCCAATTTTAATCGTCGGTGGTCGCTTCTCCCTTATATTACGGTGATGTTTAGTACGGGGTGTCATTATGCTTCGTATGTATCCTTGTCTTCCTTCCTTTATACTTTCCCATTGGGGGTTCGGACTAATGTGTTGTGTATAGTACGATATACACCATGCAACGCAATACCTCCAACCTGCGCATTCTTACCGGTCCTCCCGAGAACCCGAAACTGCATATGCTTAATGGGTTGGTGGATACTCCGCTTTTTCATCATCTGGGGAGTTCGTCGTGGCATGAGATGGATGCCAAGTTGATCAAGTCGTTTGCGGGTTTTGATCAGCGGTTATCGTTTGGGATGGTTCTGGTGGCGGGGGCGGGGGCGATGTGGGCTATGGGGTTGTGTGTTTCGAGAGTGAGGAGGTGGGGAGGACAGGGGAGGAAGGGGGTTGGTGAGGGTTGTGGGGGTATTTGGGGGAGATAGAGATGGTTAGGGTTGCTGTTTGGTTTGTATTGATGGGTACTTCTAGTAGTAATATGTCTAAAGTATGCAGGTATGATACATGGGATAGTTATGAGAAATGAATGCTTGAATCTGCTATGCTTGTAACAGTAAGATGCTTGGACTAAGCTATGCGATACAAATTGTTGAACCACATGTATCGACTCACCACCAAGTACAATACTCGGTCCCATGAATATTGACTGGTGTGTTGGCTGAATGCGTTTCTGGCCACCAGATATGTCCTCCACGGGCTGACCAGCAGTGCTTTGTCTCCGTAGGGATCCTGTCCTCCTACCAGCTGTTTTCCTGGCGATGTGAAGACCGCTTTGACGATCCGCCAGGAGAATGGCACCGAGGTGAGTACCAAGTCGATCAGCGATGAGTATTTGCGCAGTAAAAAGGTACTCTGTAATGTGTAGACCGGTGGGGTGTGGGGGAAGCTTTCCGCGTATTGCCTATATTGTCAGTCGATCATTCTAGAGATGGAGAGGTATACATACAGAACACCGGCGCTAACAGCGCGATGATTGACGTGACCAGATACTCCACCATAGTCAAAGGTAAAGATCTATATCCATCAGTATCATCGCCTCATCAATGCTGCAAACCTACCAGATCAACTTTCCACATATGGACGTAATGCGCCACAATATCCTGAATCACATCCTCACGCCACCACTTCTTGGGATTATCCTGCAACGCGCCATGCTCCAGCACAACACAACGGGCGGGTAGAATGCCCAGCGCGGCACAACTGCGCTCGATTTCCCCTTTGCGGGTCTCGCCTAGGCCATTGTAATCGCCTGTACGTCGTTAGGTGGTCTTTAGGCAACCATGTCACACAGTACTTACCTGTCGATAGTACCAACAAAGCCCGGGTTACATCCGGGTTGTCGTGGCCGTGGAGGATGGTTGGGCTGAAGAACAAGGTCTCATCATCCGGATGGGCAGTCACGAGGAGGACATTGCGCGCCCGCTGGATAGTCTCCGGAACCAGACGCGGGTCCTCGGCCAGCCAATATGCCAGCAAGAAATACAACCACAGCGATGCTGATAGCAGGATCAGCGCCAAGGACACCATCAGCCATTTCCAGCCATATCGGCACGTCTGGCGGACGAGGCGCTTGAGCAGGCGGGTGGGGGAAACCATCAGCGACGGTGGGCTGGACTTGGCGGGATGTTCGAGGGGAGAATGCGTCCCGATCATGATGTGAAGATGAATTGAAGACTGTCCACCTACGTTGCGGAAAGTCCCATGAATAACGATGAATTCACCTGCTCGAGTGCCTGGGGCATGGCTGCCGCCTGACGGTACGGTACGGTTCCGCCGGTCACAATACCCCGCGGAACCCGACAATACAGCCTTACCGTCAGGGTCTCACGATGCACAAGCTTCAGCGTCAAGCTCCATCCACAAACTAGGCAGCCATTTACGCTGTCACGGTCATTGGCTCGCCTGAATAACTCTATTTTCTTCAAAGTCTGGCCATGAGCGATTTACCTGGCCAATGGCTGTGAGCCAGTGGCGGCTGAAAATGGCTGACAAGCTTTGCTGACCGAGGTCTCGATGCTTAATTGTCTTCAAGCAGCACCGTGGGGGCCAGATGAGCAGGATGCAGCAGAGTAATAGGGGTTCATGTCACACGGCCATCCTGGTCCGACTGGTTTGCGAACCGGCCCCAATGTTCAATCCAGGGCTTATTGCGTATGGCCCTACGGAGTAGCCGTCGCAGGATGGCAGTGCCCCGCGGCTATCCAGATCCTGGGTTAAACTTATTGCCAGGTTATCATTCATTCTAGACTCGGGATTCTTATTCCTGCTGCCTATCCCTTTGCTTCCTCCCGTCTCTTTGTTGCATGTAACCCCGTGTCACCGGCTTCATAGACAGGTACCACCTTGTCATCCGATAAAAAGCCACGGTCATCTCCGGACATTGGCATCGCTGTCGCTGCAAACGCGACTATCAACTTATGTGAAACACAGGGTTTGTGTAGCCTGCATGACGCGGCTTCGTAACAGAATCCTGGATGGGGTTCGCTGCAGTACCTCTTAGCTACTCTCCGTGCAAGTCCAAGCGGTCGCAACAGTTATCAAGAAATCCATCGTTCCTGTGATCAATTGACCAAATCAACCCAGACTGTCTATGTCACAACAAATGCAGGAATCAGGGAGCTGCTGGTTCCTGCCACAATGGATGATTGGAGGTGTCCGATGGGATCGATCGGTCCTCCAACCGGAAGGCGCGGACGATCTGCAAGGGATTGCCAAGTCCACCACGTCAATCATCTCAGCTCGACCGACAGCTAACATCACCACCTCACCACTGACCTTTCAACCATTGCAGTATCCAAGATGATTCTATCTAACCTGGGTTTGTACCTGCTGGCTCTGGTGGCCCCCTCCCGCACCGACTCCCACCGACGAACCTATTTCTATGTCGGAGGCAACTATACGCTCGACAGCAAGGGCGAGCATATCTACACGGACCAGATGTACGTGGAGAAGCTCACCCCTGCGCATGTCACCCAACCCCATCCCATCGTCTTCATCCATGGCATGGCACAGACAGCCACGGTAGGTCCCCAAGCTACATGGTGATCCTCGCTAATGTATCCCAGAACTGGCTGAACAAGCCGGACGGCCAACCAGGATGGGCATCCTACTTCCTCCAGAAGGGATATGAATGCTACCTCCTGGACCAGCCATTCCGGGGCCGCAGTCCCTGGCAGCCGTCCAATGGCCCGTTGGAGACTTACTCGGCCGAACATTTGCAGAAATACTTTACCGCGCCCGCCCAATATCGTCTGTGGCCACAAGCTTCGCTGCATACCCAATGGCCTGGCTCCGGTCTGATGCATGACCCTATTTTTGATGCCTACTATGCCAGCACGGTGCCCTCTGTCAGTGACGATATCTCCCAACAACGTGCCATGCAGCAGGCTGGCGCCGCTCTGTTGGATCGGATTGGTGAGCCGGTCATTCTGGTGGCTCATTCCCAGGCCGGTCTTATGGCGTGGCTCATGACCGACCAACGGGCGGATTTGGTTCACTCCATCGTTGCCATCGAGCCCGCTGGTCCTCCTTTTAGCTCCATGTTTGGGGGCGCTCCCACAAAGCCATACGGTCTCACCGATATTCCCCTCACGTATACGCCACCAGTGTCGAATCCTAGCTCGGACCTTGTCACCACCGTCATTCCGGCCAACTCATCGGACGTGACGGATTGTCACATTCAGGCCGATGACTCTTCGGCGCGGCAGTTGGCCAACATCAGCAAAGTTCCTGTGCTCTTGGTAACTACGGAAGCGTCGTACCATGCTCAGTATGATTGGTGCACGGTCAAGTTTCTGCAGCAGGCCGGAGTGCAGACGCAGCACTTGCAGCTGGGGGAGATTGGCATTCACGGCAATGGTCATATGGTGTTTTTGGAGAAGAACAGCGATGAAGTCGCAGCTGCCATTCAAAAGAGATTGGAGACATCTCTTGCGGTGCACAAGTCGGATCTCTAATTGGCTTGTACTGAGACTAGTCCACTTATGTGATGTCGTTAACATTCCATGTCAGTGTCTTGACTTTGGCTTTGTCTATTGGTATGAGATATTTCTAGGACGTCGCCAGATCCTGAGCTGTAGTCACTTACAATCATATAAAACCGCAAGATGTTCCGTTATGGGGAGCTCAAGGACATTACTTTCGTCTGTAGCAACGAAGTTGATAGATCGGCCTGATATAGGACAATATCTACCCCATATTGTCACGTGCAGGGCAGTACCTAAAAATAACTTGAGAGGAAATACCATCACCTGATCCTCCTCCTCCGGTAATTGCCACAGTGCCGAGAATGGCGTACCGTAGCTAGCCGTCTCCTCAGCCAATGAGAAGGCTCAGTTAAGCCCAACAACTCAAAATACAGAGAACAAGAGCGATAGGAGCAAAGGAGAATCGGTATAAACACTCCAGATAAGGAGAGATACAAGGAGTCTCATGAAGGTCGGTGTTTGATCTCGAGTTGATGCTAGTCGAAAGACACAGATAGTCTATATATTTGTCCCATACTGTGGGTTTCATAAGTGCGTTTCCCTGCGGCAATAAAATGCGAGCGTTCACACGATATATATCTTTGGACACGGCTGTCTGGTTCTGCACGAAAATTTGACATTAGTATTTTAACCTACTAATAATGCTGCACACAAGAAAGGGATATTACAATTTGCATCTCCGCATAAAATCGTCGACTAATCAGCAACATGGCCAAAATGCGACCGGGGAAGCTTTCTCCAGACCCCGCAGATGGTTGCCAGGCGAGCGCACGAGCCCCAGTTGCGCATATTACCCGTTTCGGCAGGTTCTTCAGCCACCCGTGACACGGGTTCATTGTTTATAACCTTTCCTCCTTTCTTTATTTTTTTTATTTTTTGCTTTTTTAAAAAAAAACCATCCCTCGTCTAATTACTTGACTTTGTCTTAGCAGGCTGTCAACAGGTTTGTCAGGCTGATTCATTGCATTATCTGCTGCTCTCCATGGATCCCGCGGAGCCGGAATTCATCAGTCTCACCGACACCGGACGCGCCCCAATCCCACCGGTGGAAGAACCCACCATAGTTGATGCTACCCCAGGAGGAAAATCCCTTCACCTCAAGCTCATCGCATCCGGATTCTCCTTCTTTGTCGCAGGTGTCAACGATGGTAGTCTCGGTTCGTTGCTCCCATACGTGCTACAGTCTTATCACGTTAGCACAGGACTTGTCATCGTCGTGTATGTCTTTCTAGCTGCAAGAATTGAGATATGATGAGTCGAACCGCTGATACGCATCAGATACGTGTCTACTCTCATAGGCTGGCTTGTCGCTGCCCTTACCAACAGCTCCATCTGCCAATACTTGGGTTTAGGGGCCATACTCGCCCTGGGAGCTTCATTCCAGGTGCTCGCCCATGTATTGCGGGCCTGGCTTCCCTCATTCCCACTGTATGCCATCACTTTCTTCCTGGCTAGTCTTGGGCAGGCCTTTAACGACACCCACGCGAATACCTACGTGTCTTCGGTGAAAGCTGCCCATCGATGGCTCGGATTCATCCATGCCATGTACATGGCTGGATGCCTAGTTGGCCCATTGGTTGCAACTGCCGTGGCGGCAGCAAATCGGCAATCACATTGGAATTTGTTCTACGTCTTTCCGCTGGGGTTGGGCGTAATTAATCTGATACTGGTCCTCATAGCATTCCGCGACCGAATGTCCATCGAGGCACCAGTCCCAGCCACTCAATTGAACGACAGTGCGGACTCCAAACGCCGCCGTGCTGTCAGAGAAATCAAGGATACCCTCAGAGTGCCGGCCGTGTGGTTGACAAGCTTGTATTTCTTTTTCTTTCTCGGAGCGGCCATCACGGCTGGCGGTAGGATACCTCCTTTATCTAGACTAGCAGAAGACTCACGGGTAATAGGATGGATTGTCGAGTACCTCGTTCACGTCCGACATGGCGACGTGCAACAGATGGGCTATATACCGACAGGCTTCTACGGCGGCGGCTTTCTCGGTCGCTTGATCCTAGCGGAACCTACATATCGATTGGGAGAGCGTCGCATGGTGTTTATCTACGCAGCTCTGTGTGTGGGTCTGGAGTTGACCTTCTGGCTGTTAGTTCATTGCTGGTTTCTGATGAAGTGGTTGACTAACTCATAACAGGGTCCCCAACATCGCCGTGGAGGCTGTGGCTATCTCCCTGCTGGGCTTTTTCTCAGGGCCATTTTTCGCGACCGTGCGTATACAATGCCCATGGCGACTGGGGAGAACTAACACTTTAATAGGGCATCTCAGTCGCATCCAAGATATTTCCAGCCAATATACGCTCCTCGGGAATCGGTACGTGCCTGCAGTTTCTGTTTGATGACTATGCTAACAATGGTCAATGGCACCAGCGTTCGTCTTCGTCCTTGGTCAGGTCGGTGGATCACTCTTCCCGGTGCTGACGGGGATCATCTCCTCTCATACTGGCGTCAAGGCACTGCAGCCCATGTTGCTGGCCTTGCTTGCTGCCACTGGGATCAGTTGGCTGCTGGTGCCCAAGGCTCCCCGCATGCGAGCAGACTGAGGCATCACTAGCTAGAGAAACCATTCAGTCAAAGGACACCCCTGCTAGATCACAGAATTCAGAACCTGCTGCGCTACCGCCCATCCGTGGCTTTCGCATTCGATGTCGATATAGTGTTTACATAATTACCAGGCAAATCCAATATACACGATGGATCAAACTGAGTTGTGGAGCTTTGAGTGGTGAAGTTGATAAGTTGAAGATCATTGACGATTTGCCATAATCAGAGTTACAGAACAAAGCCACTGCGATAACCACAGTATCATTGGAATAGCTACTATAAATCACAACATAAAGCACCCAGAAGCGGAAATCAGAACAGCGGCTGATGACCATGCTTCTCCGCCAGCAACTGCGCCGAAGCCGCAACAGCCGCATTACATCCACTCGAAATCGCCCCTGCAACCACCTTGTACGGAGTGATACAGTCACCCGCAGCAAATACACCCCGAATGCTGGTCTGATAAAAGGGCGCGGCAGCAGCTACATCACCAGTGCCGGGAACGAAGCTGGGCGAAATGTCCAGTCCAAGCTGACTAGCCGACGAGCCCTTGACCTCCGTGTTGGGGTTGTGCACGAGAAACGCCTCCTCAACCTGGCTTCCATCGGAAAGCTGTACCTGAACGGCGGTGAAGTCATCGTCATTCAGCGCCAAGCCGGTGATTGCACGGTTGTCAACCTTGAACACAGCATTGGTGCCCTGACTAGATAAGGTGGCGGTCAACTGTGCCCCCAGATCCTCAGTCCCATTGGTATAAATGGTGACCTGCTCAGCCAGCTGGGCAGCATTCTCCGCCTGATACATAGCCATGGGCACATTCGCAGCGGACTGAATGGCAAGGACACCGGCCCGTTTTGCAGTTCGGTCCTCGTATCCTTTGCAGAAGAGGCAGTGGAAGCTACAACCCACATTAGCACAGCCAGTTAGAGAGATGAAGGACATCATACATGCGCTTCCCCCAAGCCTCAGCATATCCGGGAATCTCTGGGAAAATGTCCTTTGATCCGGTAGCCAGGATCAACTTCCTTCCTTTCCACACGCCGCCATTGGCATCTGTCAATTTGAAGAGACCATCATCGCTCTTCTCAGCCTTTCAATGCCGATGTCCTCAATGCGAATGGTGGAATAATTCGATACGATCTCCTGACGGGCTTGAGCACGGAATAAAGCTGGATCCTTGTGGTCCCATGTCGGGATCATATGCATGAAAGGAGAGTTGCCATTGCGGTAGGACTGGTTGTCGAAGAGGACGGCCGTGTGGAGTTGACGTGCCAGAGTGAGGGCGGCTGTTAAGCCGGCGGGACTACCGCCAACGATGAGGACGTCAACGGGTTCGGTGGACATCCTTGCTAAACTGAGGACACAACTGAGCTGATGGAATATTTCCAACGCCAGAAAACAGGAGAATCAGCTCCAGACTTAAATGCTGGCCTCACTGATAGGTGTGACCTGTCAGCAAGGCTACGACGCAGAGGTTTCTTTGTTGGATGCATACAGGAATCGAATCCCTGTAGAGAAGACCCACGGCTCGGGCAATGAGAGGCCACCCTATTTTCTTATCACCCGACGGGCCGATCAAGAGGTTGGGCGGGATCGACCCGAAAAGCGGCCGATGATTTGGCGAAGCTTTTGTAGTGGGTTTATCTTGGGTGGTGATAGCCAACGGCGGGAAAGGTGTAACCGCTCAGCTAGTGATCGGCGATACACTGTTCTTTGTTCCTAGTGCTCTGTCACATTCCATCACATAGGGTAGCTGCCTGTTTTTAGATCGTGGGTATGACTGCATGATAGATTCTGTTCCGGTCATGGTGGTAAGACATGTTGGATCTTTGTAACGCTGTTAAGAGATACTATATTCATCGACCTGCAATTTCCATATAAGACATAAATCATCAGAATCATCAATGAACAAACCGCTAAACATAATGAAAACAAAGTGGAAGATAATCCGCCAGACCAATAGATGCACCAACGTGATGCCATGTGTTGCTCTCTACTCAACATGCTCCACAGTCTGTTCATCCACCTTCGATAGGTTAGCTCCCCCCTGTTTCGTAGTCTTCCGTAACTCTTCATCTTCATGCTGGATATACTTGAGTGGTCGCTTCACACTGATCGCATCCGGATCATTGATGACAATCAAAGGCGGGTTTGAACGGTAGTAGGCATCTAGATCCTCGAGTGTCCGGTTCGCTGGGAGGGTCAGCCTAACTCAATCCCATAGATGCAAACCACTCACCTGTCTCCGGATAGAAGAGATAAATAACCGGAAGGAAAGCAGCATTAAACACCGTCCATATGACCCAGAACTTCCACCCAATACTCTGGATACCAATAGGAGTAATCTCCACGACAACAAAATTCATGATCCTAAACCATCAGCCTCAATCAACAGCACTCATCAGACAACCTTACCAATTTGTCGCAGTCGACACCGCCGCTGTTTTCGTCCGCATCGGAAGCGAGCTAATCTCCGTCGGATAAAGCCACGGCACGCCCAACATACCCATCCCGAACGCAATATAGAACAAAAAGAAGAAGACAATCGACGCCGACGCAAACTTCTCCCCATTCGGCTGCGTCCCTGAAAACCGCAACATGATCGTAATCAACAAGAACGAGAAAAACTGCCCAATCGTAGAGATCATCATGAGGCCCCGTCTTCCCCATCTCTCCACCAACAGCACAGCCCCGGAAGTAAACACAAAGTACGACACGGCATTGCAAGCTGTCAGTAACCGGGACATTTTGTTCGAGAGACCTACCGATTCCATCAAGACAGTGGGCAAGTAGTATGAAATGACGTTGACTCCCTCGAACTGCTGCATGAATTGCGTGCCCGCGCCTAGGACCAGTCGTCGAAGGGTTTTGGTGTCGTTGGTTTTCTTCCCGAGGAAGAGATCGCGCCATGAAACGGCATTCTCTCGTTCGTATTGGATGCTGTATTCGATTTCGTTGCGCTGGGTGGAGATGTATGGGTCGTTGACGGATTTGGCTTCGATGCATGCGATGACCTCGATTGCTTCGGGGATGCGGCCTTGGGCCATGAGCCATCTGGTTGAGACACTATTAGCCGGCGTCCAAGCAAGAGGCAAGATTGAGTAAAAAATAAGGGAGGGGGATTACCTAGGGGACTCAGGTAGCCACGGCACCGTAGCGAACAAGACAAAGATAAAAAAGAACTGAAACGCAATAGGGAACCGCCAGGCGACGGAACCACCATGAAAGGACAAGCCATAGTTAATCCAATTGACCAAACAATACCCAGCAAGATTCATCAACATTTCGAAGATGACTAGTCTTCCGCGCCACCTTGCCGAGGAGGTTTCCGTCTGCCAGATCGGGGCGGTCGTGGTGTTGATGCCATTTCCTAGACTATTCCCATCAGCAGGCTAGATTGAACGCATGAGGTAATGACTTACCCCGAAACCACACGACCAACAAACATCTGAGCGAGGTTATACGAACTCGCCTGCAGAATCGTACCCACGGCCATGATCGAAGTGCCCCAGATGATAGATTTCTTTCGACCGAGACGTTCTCCGAAGCTGAAGGCGAGGATTGCCCCGAAGAAACAACCCACATCATAGATAGCGGTCACTGTGGATAGGACTTGGGTCTTGCCGGATCCCACGAGATCGAGGGTTTCGAGGAAGTTCTCTGTTACCACCACGCCACCTTGTAATCTTAGTATCTGTTCGGGTGAGGAAGGGAAGGGAAACCTACTGAAAACACCTTGATCATATCCGAATAGAGTCATGTCGGTGGCACATGCTACCTGAGGAGTTTAGCTGTTGTTCATGGAGTTGTGTCAGGTGGCTTACCGTGATCCAGACTGTTAACCATCCACCGGTGAGCCCAAAGTAGGGCTCCTTGCTGGAGAACAACGAGAGTCCCATCGTGGCAACTAACGATGAAGCAAAGAACAAAGAAAGCAATAAAACGACAAACCAAGTGATTTACTGATTAGTAAGTGGAGGGGTGATTGAAAACAATCGACTGCCATCTGCCCGGTGGCCATCATCGCTCTATATAAGGGCCAGGGTTAGGCACCGGCACCTTCATGCTGAATCCGGGCTAGGCGTCACTCCCCGCTCCCGACATTTGCGGGGAAAGAGTCTGGAGGAACTTATTGACGCGGCACGATTCGGGCATAACGCCTGCGGCATTTTCACTTGCCGCTGGTCTCCGGTGAACATTGGTCCGTCCGTCGTGGTCTGCTCGGATCAACATCATACTATCCGGATGAGGAAAATTAGGAGGCGCCATGACGCATGGCGTCAATTCGTTTTCCCGGTAGTCATGGCCAGTTGACTCCGAGGAAAGAAAGGACGGGATTGATATCATACGACGCTACTGGGATACACAGCTATGTTGATCCGGTTGCAGTGGTGTTACAGTGGTACTACTGACTGAAGAAGCTGAATGACGTGAACTAAGGAAATCTTCATTCATTAATCATATCTAAGGCAAGGTGTATCCTCCATCGATGACGATGTTGGCGCCGGTCATATACGGGCAAGCATCGCTGGCAAGGAAGACGTACGCCTATGAGAAATTAGCCGGGGTGCTTAGTTAAAAGAAAGGGATGGATCTTACCCCCTTCAGCTCTCGGGGATCGCAGATGCGGCCACCGGGGACCATGTTCAACCACTTGTCGAACAGCTCCTTGGGCTGCTGCGTGAGCACTAGGACATATCAGTATCTAGCGTGCTGGTTGCCGACGGTCACTTACTCTTGGTCATGATGAACCCCGGGGAAATGCAGTTGACTCGGGCAAAGTCGGTCCACTCGACGGCCAGACCCTTGGCGAGATGGACAGCCGCGGCTTTGGAGGCATTGTAGGCGACCTGAGTCTGGGGGATGTTGACGAGGATGGCGCTCACCGAGGCGGTGATGACCAGATTCCCGCGTCCCTGCTTCTTGAAGATCTTTCCCGCCGCCTGTGCAGTCCACATAACCCCATCGTAGTTTACCCGGTTGTCCCTGGCCCAGCTTTCCTCGTCGTATTCGAGATTAGGGGAGTTGGTGCAGACACCGGCATTGGCGACGACGACGTCCAATCGGCCGTTTCCGAACTCTTCAGCGATCTGATTGAGAGTAGCTGCAATGGTGCTCCGAGTAGTGACGTCAGACTGGAAGGCCTGCACGCGGACGCCCGTCTCTGCAGCCACCTTGGCGGCGGTCTCATCGGCCTCGCTGTTGGAAGAGTAGATCAGGGCCACGTCGGCCCCGGCCTCGGCCAAGCCGCGGACGACCTCGAGGCCGATACCTCGGGCACCGCCGGTGACAGCGGCAATTTTACCCTTGAGGGAAAATTGGGAGAGGACGTTGTCGTCGAGGTTGGAAGGCTGGTAGAGAGGCATTGTGGATGTCAAGGAAGGCAGGAAAGATCAGATGGAATGTGATGTCAGGAGATTGGCATACTGGATAGGGGGACCTGATGACCCATTAAATAGGTCATGATGGTGGTATTGAAGACGTGGATATCGTGAAGATTGGAACCCCTCCATGTTGGAGGACAAAGTCATGATGAACATCCGGGCTGAACTACCCGATCGGGCAACATTGGCGGTCCCCCAAACAGGCAATTCAGGCGACCCCACAATCTTCTGGTTTTCCAGCAAACCTTCAAAGTTCAATTTCCCCCTCCATTGTTTCTCATTGTTTCTTGCTGCTCCACCAGGCACCCCTCAATTTCGATCCAGTTTCCTCGGCCCACTATCCGTGCTGATACGAGCGGCTAAGTCTTATTTGGTCAGGAGCCCTGAATACTCCAGACTTTGGCTGGGAAATAGCATGACATCAGGGGCACCCGCATCACGTGGTTCTCCGCAGCTGGCTGCCGGATGCCCTCGAGTGCCGAACACATCGTCAACCATCCCAGATCCCGCTCATTAGATCATGGACACCCCTGATGTCGTCCCCTCCGATGACGGGCCAACTGCCCGATTCCCCCAGCCACCGTCGACTGGCTGCCAGGAGAGAAACCCAACGTTCCCGCAAAGGCTGGTACGTGCACTCCTATTCCCGGTTATGAGCCTGACTGACCATCCAGCCCTGCATGCCGGAGGCGGAAAATTAAATGTGATGAGCAAAAGCCCAAGTGCGGCCAATGTGTGCGGAGTGGCCGGTCCTGTCGCATCATTGACAGCCTGTTCCGGCCACATGCTTACTCCTTTCTCACGGGATCGTCGCCACGCAGCCACGACACTCGCCCGAGAAGTCGGTCTCCCGATTCCCCCAGGGGCACCCCGGACGTCGCATGGGCAGCCGGCAGCCCCCAGCCAGGTAATGCTCACTCCCACGTGAGACTGGAGGTCACTAACCGATTTGCAGTCGACTTGGGTGGTCTGCATGCCCCAGACACCGCTCCCACATCGCCGACCTCCCCTACCCCGACTAATGTCCTTGCCTTGGTCAATGCATTCACTGTAGTTGCCCCATCAGAGGGGTTCCCTGTAGACAGAGACGCTCTTCCGGTGCCTACGGAGCCTCCCATCCTGACCACAGAACCAAGTCCCCGTCAGTCGCATAGCGATCATGGGCCACGTCGGCCCAGTCACGAGCAGTCTCGAACACCGGCGGATCCTTGCTTATCACAGGAGGATGCCATCGCAGATAGCTATCAGGATCGATGTGAGATTGCTTTCTTCCTTCGATATTTCTCCGAAGAACCTGGGAGGTGGATGGACCTGGGTAACGACACCCAATACTTTAGCCGCTATATTGTGTCCCTCGCCGATATGAGTGCGCTGATCCGATACGCTGCCTGCGCGCTGGCAGCCAAGCAGTTGGGGCAGGTAAAGGACCCTGAATCCAGTATTCGACAAACGTCCTGCCATCGGACCATGTTGAAGGCGTTTTCCAATTCCAAGCTGGACTTTCTCTGGTACGGGGCCAAATATTATGAGCGGGCGATTCAGATTCTTGCCCGCCAGATCTCCCATGAAGACCGATCGGACTGCCATATGTCGCCTGCTTGTATCTACCAATCCGGATTGACTCCGCAAAGTGTGGATTATAGCGTCCTGGGCGACCAGGAAATTGCAGCAGCGACGTTTCGTCTTCTGGCTGCATGCATACTGTGCCAGTATGAGGATTTGAGCGTGACCTTGCGGGCTTGGTCCGGCCATCTGGATGGAATCTACAAACTGCTTCGTCCCCATCTCAGCGGCGCGGTTGAATTGCAACCCTCGCATCCCATTCCGCAGCCCGCAAATGTGGTGGAATCCATATTCTGGTTTCTTGCGATCAACGACATGATGGATGCCTGTGAGTGTGTCTTGATCATTGCTAGACTGCAGTGTTGACCTGTATATCTCTTAGTTGTGTCGCGAAAGCGTACCAGAATAAATACCGACGACCTCTCGGTCTGGCGCAAGTTCGGGGGTCTACCTTTAGATGACACTGGGAGTCTCATCATTCACTACACTGACGAGCGACATGCCGAGTCCATTCTATCAAAAGGGTTGGTCCGACTGCTGTGTCTGATGGTTAATGCCAACCTGGCCAACGTCATGGAGTGGAATTACATCAACGCGGAGCTAGACCGATGGCATAGTATTCTGCCGTCCAGCTTCCTGTCTCCTGTCAGCTGGCCTCCTTCCCAGTCTGCAACCCAGACGGATGGCTCACAACCCAACGCTATCCCCGAATTATTCACCCGCGAAACATGGTTCTCAAGCGACACCTGTGCCATCGCGATGGCCTTCTATCACATGGCCCGAATGGTGTTGTTGATCAACCGACCCTTGGAATTGTTCTTACAGCAGCAACCCCACCAGCTGGATCTGCTTGCCACATACCGGTCTCTGCAAGAAGGCCTTCGTCACCATGCATCCGAAATTGTCCCTATAGCCCACGGGATGCCCAGCGATGTGGTCCGAAAGTACTTGCTCCAGCCCCTTTACGTCGCAGGCCGATGTCTCCAGGATATTAGCGACCGGAAGAGCCTCCTGGCTATTCTTAGCCAGATCGACGATGATCTCGGGGCTTTTACAGACTACCGCAAGAGGGACCTTTGTGAAGAATGGGGGATTCCGTACGAACCGGTCGAGCGAAATATTGTATTATGACAATGAGCCATGTAGCAATGGATGCCTGCCGTGCCATTTGATTGGGCTGTATCTGAAGTTCGATTGCGGGACAGGGGTGGATTAGCCGTAAGCTTACCCACGACATTTATACGCAGGTTGTCTAGCAAAATAAACAGAAATCATCCAGCAAAGAAAAATAAAAACAAAAACATACAACAGAAGGGATTCGCTGGTGGTCACCCACCCAACTACTAACCTCCCGGCGTGTGGCTTAAGTACGGCTGAGCGGACGGGAAGCCCTGTTCTCCACACCCTATGGTCGTATGTACTGGGTGAAGCATGGGAATGAATGATATAGGGGCCCCAGGCCAGAATTTCTGTTGATTCTCAATAGGATTGTGTCCTAAAGTCGCATAATGACGGGTAGGATACCTCAACATGACCTTAAGGGCAAGATACCCTCAATCACTCAATTTCACCTGGCTGACAAATTTAGAAGATTGTTTCTCAGCACTACTGTAACCCTGCATGAAGAAACATAAAGACCCATTGATACTTGGGCTATGCAGCCGAGCCCAGCTTCCTATTCCTCCATCACAAATTCCATGATGGACATGATACTCCCAGCCGGTTTGAATAAGCGCCGCAGTTTCAACCCCGGATGTGCATCCTGACACAGCTTCTTCCAGTCCTCCAGCGGACGTTCCCGCGCGTTAAAACTGGTGATCATCTCCATGTCCATGATTCTATATGTATTAGCCAAGTCACCTCGAAGGAATGCACCACTTACCGTGCAGTCCTCTCCTCGCCCCTCCCTAGCGTCAATGGCTCCGGCAGAACTCCCTCATTCAAAATCACCCGACTTCCCTTCTTCATGGCGGGGATGAGATTCTGCAAGATCTGGACGGCCCGGGCATCGGGATGATCATGTAAAATGAAGCGCAAGAGATACACGTCGGCGCTGACGGGCTGCGGTGTGAAAAAGTCGTGCGTCTGAAAGGTAACCCGCTCTGTCAGCGCAGCAGGCAGGACGGCGCGACCCTGTTCAACCACTCCCTCGACATCCTGCACCACGAACCGGGCCGTGGGGAACTTGTGGCTGATGGCAATGCTCGCATGGCCTGTTGACCCACCGACCTAGAAACATTAACACCTACACATTACTCTATATCAAGGGGCTAAGCAGGGAGAGATACATCCACCACCGTGCCTTCGATCTCCTCCCACGGATACCCGTCGACCAAGTGATGCACACCATAACCCTCGGTGGAGGTCATCTCGACCATGGTGTTAGCGAACCGCCGCTCCCGCTCCGGGAAGCGCTGCAGGTGGACGAACATGGGCTCATCGGTATCAAAGGCAAGGTTATAGGCAGCATGGTTAGCGAGCTGGCTGGATCCATAGCGCTCGGTGGCTTCGACCAGCTTGACCGAGGCGGGATAGCTTTCCTCGGTGGTGTACCCGACCCAGTCGTTTAAGGCAGGCGAGGTGACCAGGAGAGCCGAGGCAGCGTTGTGGGCTACGAACCCCGGACGCGGCTCGCTGAAGAGCCGGTTTGTCATGGCCAGGCGCAGGACGGTTTTCAGTCGGTTTCCATCCACGTTGGCTGTGGCGGCGACCTCGCTGTACGGGACGGCCCGGTCCAGAGGAATGGCGGCGGCGATGTTGAAGTGGTAGAGCCATCGGAGGCTGGACATGTCGTGGTACTGTTGATGTTAGTCTCCTTTATTTTATCTTTCTCTTTTTTTTCTTTTTTTTTTTACTCCTTTCATTTCATCGATCTCGATTCTTGCCAAGGTTCAGACATACTCTACATGCCATCCAACGGAGATGCTCGGCCGGTCCAACCAACGCATCATACATGGACTGACAGGCATCCAGGATCTGCTGACGGGCGGCCTGAATGGCGGCCGGTGCTTCGGGGAATGCAGGGGGTGCATCGCGGTCGAACGAGGGCTGGGGATGGCCGTTGGCAACCAGAAAGGCATTGACTTGGTCGGTGGCTTGGCTGATTTGCGCGGCCAGGTCGGCCAGATTACTCGAAGGGATACTCATTTTCTTGATTTTAGGGATGCAAGGGGTACGTACAAATTGAAGCACAAAATGAGGGGCATGAAGAAACGGCCACATGGGCCGACAACTGCCAATTTCTGCTAGGGTCCACTCAGATAAGACATGACGTGCTTATAGTCACCCTCGATCCTTTTTATTGTGACTCGCCGTTAATCCTATCTGGGTATAGCAATCCTTCCAGCCGACCCCCTTATTCTGCCAAGAGAAGGAAGGATGAATTGTCCCATTGAAGAGGGAATGGTCTCTATTCCTTCATCAACTTCGGAACGAATGATTCCGATCAATCTCTACTGGTACTTGATTTCCCTTCGATTCCGGCAACTCAGAATAACTGTGATCCCATGGAAAAGCACCTTTCAACTCCCCCGTGGGTAGGATGGAATGGACTATACCAGGTCCAGTCTAGCATCGGGGTACTTTTGCTTAGAACCAAGCAGATTGGTCGCAGTACTTAAGACGACCAAGTAACCGAGCACATCTGGCCACCCCCGAAGCAGCGTTTCTTCGGTTGATCATGTCTTCCTCCTCCCATCCGATCGAATCCATCGAGGCCGATGAACCGTCCGTGCACCACGTCCTGGTTGATCCCGAAGTGGGTTGCCTTTTGCCGAGTTATTTGCTTCTGGGGCTGACGATCGCTAGGATGACACGTGGGGGTTGATGGAAGACGGAGGATATCCGACCGACGTGTATGTCTTCCTTTGCTTTTTATGATGCATAACTGACTGTTCGCAGCGAGAGCTTTGCGACCTCGCTGAGTTCCACCGTTCTAGACTACAAATGGGTCAATGGACGACGTTTCCACGCCTACAAGGAGGGCAGTAAGTTTCTTGCCTCCTCTTCACGCGACAGTGATTCATCGACACAGGCTACAAATTCCCCAACGATGAACGAGAACAAAACCGACTGGATATGATGCACTGCATGTTCAAGCTGGCCATGGGTGGCCAATTATTCCTCGCCCCGGTGGAAGTGGAGCAGCCTTTGCGGGTGCTGGACATTGGCACGGGAACGGGTATCTGGGCGCTGGAAGTTGGTCAGTACATATACAACCGGCAACTATTACTTCACTAAAACCCTACCAGGCGACCAAGACCCAAACATCAAAATGGTATGCCATCGATCCCATTCCTTCCCACAGACACTAAACCCTTCAGATCCTAGGCAACGACCTCAGTCCCATTCAACCCGATATGTATGCCTCCTCTCCTCCCACTCGACCAAATACTAACCAAAAAGTGTTCCGCCCAACGTGGTATTCGAAGTCGACGACGTCGAAGCCTTATGGCCTCCACGTCAACCCTTCGACTTCATCCACGCCCGCTACATGTGCGGATCCATCCAAGACTGGCCCAAACTCTTCCACCAAGCCTACCAGTACCCGCCCTTACACCCATTCAACGACCCCAACTAACCAATCCCACCAGACAAACCCGAGTAGGAGGCTGGATCGAATTCCAAGAATTCCACCTCGTCAACTACAGCCAAGACGGCACACTCACCCCCGATAACAACGTCAACAAATTCTTCCAGCTCCTCGCCGAGGCATGCGAGAAAATGCACCGCCCCGTGACTGTCGGAACCGAACTAGCCAACTACGCCGCTGCAGCCGGGTTCCGTAACATTCACCATCAAGTCTATCCCTTGCCGTTAGGGCCGTGGCCCATGGATCGCCGAATGGTATGTACCTCACACAGACTCAACGCAGACATTCCAAAAAAATACTGAATCAGTAATAGAAAGAGGTTGGGGCCCTCAACATGATCCAGTTCCTGGAGGGACTGGAGGCATTTAGTGTGGCGACATTCAGTCATGTACTTGGGTGGAGTCCTGAAGCGGTGCAGGTGTTTTTGACTCAGGTGAGGGCGGATTCGCTGAAGAAGGACGTGAATATGATGCATAATTTGTATGTTTATCCCCTATCCTTCTTTTGAACTTGCCGGGAGGGTTGTGGGGTTATGATACTGACGGAGTTGGTTGTAGTCATGTGGTGTATGCTCAAAGGTTGTAAGTGGTCTCGATTGATGATATCCGGGTGGGGACTTTATCTATTAGCAGTATGGTATCTCAGTATCATCCTAATCATACTGTAATTATCTGATTTGCCGGTATACAGTGCAGGTCCGAAATATTAATGGGGTATGTCAAGATAAGATGCGAACAGGCTGCCAATAGCCTATATAGCCGGAATCAAGAGGTCGCTGGCATATGCGAAGCAAATCCAGTCAGGGCAGATGCTGCCTCGATAGAATCGCATCATTGTGGGTTTATCGCTTGTGTCAGACGTTCAAACTGCGCGAATAGCCTCTCGTGTTGTTCTTTCTGCTCTTGCCGTTCCTTATCATGTTGTTCTTGGTGCTCCCGCCATTCCTGCTCCCAATGTGCATGTAGCCTTTCTTCATGCTCTTTCCCATCCCTTCGTTCTTGCTCCAATTGCGCCTGGAAATTTGCTCTCCACACTCTCCCCTCCTTTCGTTTCTGCTCCAACTGCTGCTGTAACGTCTGAATCATGGCCCGGATCTCAGATTCAGTGACCGATTGTATCTCGCGAGCATCGTCGACGTCATGGGATGATATGTCATGCGGCTCGGGGATCCGGTCCAACATATCCATCACCCGTTGGATATGACGGGGTAGGAATATCTCATCCAAGCTCTGCACAAAGCGATAGCAAGTCCACTTTTGCTCTTCAGCCCAGATATGGACCCGTGTAATCGACCGCCGATAGTAAGATGCTTTGTCGCCCTCAATCTCGGGATAATAACCATGGATATGAGCCGTCTCTAGATCGTGAGATATCGAGAAGCCCAGGATTCGCCGGTGGACTGCTTCAACGCACCCAGCCCTTCGAGCCAGATGCACCAGACCACGAAGGGCGATACACATACTATGAAGGTTTAGTTGATCTGCAATTCCTATCACCTCATGGACTTCCCCTGTCAAGTAAGAGGATCTGGCATAGACCGGTCTGCCCACCCGGAACAAAACTGGACACTCCGCATCGGCAGCATCACTGCCCGAGTCGGGCTCCAGCTTCCCCGCAGCCGCGCCGCCTGAATTGCCATGTTGGGCATGGTGGCCGCGCAACGTGGGGGTTTCCCGGGGAAGCCCTTAGCCGGTGGTCTGGCCAGTGTCTATCAATACTATTAGTGCGGGGAGATTTATTTGGTAATGATTGTCCTCGGTCCTGATTCTAATGATAATGTTGTGGGGGTATACCAAATACCATTTGTATGACATGGGACAGGACAGTTCAGCTGAATTACTTGCTTTTGAGAACTTTATCGAAGTACCAGTTCTTCACATTCAACAAAGCATTAAGCAGACATCTTATTCGCAAACAAATCATCCCATTGACTTGGCATCAGCTCACCTAGCACAATACCCCCCATCAACAATAATATCCGACCCAGTGGTATAACTACTCGCATCACTAACCAAATAAACATACAACCCCTTCAACTCCTTCGCCACCCCATCCCTCCCCATCGGAATCAACCCCATCCACAACTCCTTCGTCCTGCGATCAATAAAATCCGACAACCCAGTATCAATATACCCAGGGGACACCGAATTGACCCTCGCAAAATCCCTCCACTCATTCGCCAACGACTTGGCAAAATGCACACACCCTGCCTTGGACACATTATAACTCGTCTGCTCTTGGGGGTAATTGGCAATATGGCCCGACATGGACGAAGTCACCACAAATGACCCGGTGCCCCGCTGTCGGAAATGCTCCCCAACAGCCTTGGCACAATGAAACGTGCCGTTCAAATCCGTCTGCACAATCTCCATCCAATCGGCCACTGAGCCTTCCAAAACACCTGCATCTGCTGCGCGGCCCGCATTGGCAATGAACCCGTCAATGTGTCCAAAATCGCTAATGACAGATTGTACGAGAGTCTCAGCGGCCGCATAATCACGGATATCGCACGGGTAAGCCTTCGCCTGGACGCCGTATTCCTCGGCCAGATCGCGGGCGTTCTGCTCTGCCGAGTCCTTCCGGGTAAAGTAAGTGATGGCTACCGAGGCACCCATTTCGGCGCAGCCCCGGGCGGCTTCGATGCCGATGCCGCGGGGGTTGGAGGCGCCGGTGATGACGATGACCTTGCCTTTTAGGCTGAGGAGGTCGGTGAGTTTGTTTGCGGTGGGGATGGGGATTGGCATGGTGACTGAAGTAGATGGATGAGGTAAACTGAGACTAAGAATTGGTAGCAATTGTTGGTATGAAAAATGGTAGTGGATGAGATGTAATGTCTGGTTATACCCCGCTATATAAACTATTGCCTGGGGCCTGGAGTGGTGGCCTTGCCGTGGGGTTCGACCGAAAAGGTAATTGTCGCGGGGAAAAGTGGGACCGCCAGAATTACCGCTTTGGGGAAGTTTGCCTTGCCCCTCCATCACATACTCCAACTCTATCTCTATCTCCCCACCATGAGTTCAGCAGTGTCTCTGGGATATATAAAGGGTATTCCAGCTCGTACTTAGAAGGTATCATATCATTGCAATCATCTACTACACAATGGAGGTAAATCATCCCCTTCCCCACAAGTGACTTCTTCTAACTGGTATATGAAAGAACCCCTCATTCGTCCTCCGCGATATCAAAGACGTGGTCATCGAAGACCGTCCCAAACCTGTCCTCACCGATCCCCACGACGTGATCGTCCACGTCGCACAAACCGGTATCTGCGGTAGCGATGTATGTCCCCCATCCCCTCCTCCCATTACCCTCACTTCTACTAACAACCCCAGGTCCACTAGTATGCCCCCTACCCTCACCACCCACCCACCATCCTAACCCTAATCCTACCCAGTTGGCAACGCGGCCGCATCGGCGACTATATCCTCACCCGCCCCATGGTCCTCGGCCACGAATCCTCCGGCGTGGTCGTCTCCGTCGGAGACAAAGTCCAGCACCTCAAACCCGGCGACCGCGTAGCCATGGAACCCGGCGTCCCCTGCCGACGATGCGACTACTGTCGCAGCGGGAACTACCATCTCTGTGGGGAGATGATCTTCGCAGCGACGCCACCCTGGGACGGCACATTAGCCAAATACTACGTCAACGCAGCGGACTTCTGCTATAAAGTGCCCGACCACATGTCCCTTGAGGAAGCGGCTATGGTAGAGCCGGTATCTGTTGCCGTGGCGATCGCTAAAACGGCTAACTTGCAAGCGCATCAAACCGTCTTGGTTCTTGGGTGTGGACCTATCGGCGTCCTCTGCCAGGCTGTGGCTAAGGCCGCGGGAGCGAAGACTGTTATCGGTGTGGATGTTGTGCAGTCGAGGTTGGATGTCGCCAAGTCCTACGGGACGGACTATACTTATATGCCTGTGCGGGCGGAACAGGGGGTTGATCCGATGGTTCATGCCGAGAAAGTCGCTACGCAGATGAAAGAGGAACTAGGACTAGGCGAAGGGGCAGATGTAGTCCTGGAGTGTTCTGGGGCTGAAGCCTGCGTTCAGATGGGTATTTATGCTGCTCAGCGCGGAGCGACCTTTGTGCAGGCGGGGATGGGGAAAGAGAATATTCTTTTCCCGATTACGGCGGTGTGTACGCGTGGACTGGTTATTAAGGGGTCGATTCGGTATCTGACTGGGTGTTATCCTGCTGCAATTGATTTGATTGCCAAGGGGAAGATTGATGTGAAGAGGTTGGTGACGAATCGGTTTCCTTTTGAAAAGGCGGAGGAGGCGTTTGAGTTGGTTAAAGCCGGGAGACAGGATGTGTTTAAGGTGATGATTGCGGGGGTGCAGTAGGTGCTTGTTTCTTGGGTGGTTTTGTATGGGTCTAGGGGGATGTGATTAGTTGTGGTGATTGGATCAGTATATTGATAAACTAAGTAAAGTTCTAAAGCAGTGCAAGTAATTGTCTATTTACATGATAAGTGTATAACAAGCATCTTGTGTAGGCCAGGCTATCTAGTCCAACTTGCGGAATCCCAAACTCTCCCAGTTAGCCCTCACCTTCTCCTTCAGTGCCTCCGGGTAGGAGTGTTCGAAATCAGCCGCCTCCCAGTCCGCCCCGGTGGTATACTCCGTCGGCATCAGAGCATCAGAAACAACCTTGCCGCCCTTGTTCGGGATTCCTGTACCGTGAGACATGTACGGAATGAGAGGGAATCCACGAACATCTTCAAAGAACGTCTCATCGGCATTGGGACGGCACCGAGTGGAGAACGCCCACATGACGTCCTTACCATTGTAGACGTCGATATCGTCACCAACCAGCACCAGTCGGTGGATAGTGTATCCGGCCTTGTGCGCGAACACGACATCGCCGACCTGCTTCTGGAAGTCCTTCGGGGCGATTTGCATAGCGCGCAACTTCTCCGTATCCACCTTCAACGCCACCCAAGTGACCTGGGACTCGAACGGGGAGAACGCCTCGGTGATAGGCAGTCCGGCGTTCTGGCACACCTTGCGGATTTCAGCTGCCGCCAGAGCACCGATCATAGTGTGAGTTTCGTCAGTGAGACGGCCGCACGCGGACATAGGCATGATGGGGTTGGTCCGGTAGGTGATCTTGTTGACGGTGTAGACGGGCCATTTGTGGGTATCCCCGGGGAAGACGTATCCGTGCATTTCGCCAAAGGGACCCTCGTCAGCGGTCTCGCTAATGGAGAGGGTACCTTCCATGACGATCTCAGCGTTGGCAGGCACGTGCAAGTCATTGGTATCGCATTTGACCAGTTCCAGAGGACGACCGGTCATGGCGCCGACGTAGTCAGCCTCGGTGACGCCGTCGGGGATGGGCATGGAAGACGCCATGATAGCGGCAGGGGGAACACCGAAGCAGAGGGCCCAAGGGACGTCACGGCCCTCCTTTTTCCACATCTGGTGGATTTGCCAGATGTGTTGGGGTTCGATGACGAGGCCGGTCAGATGGTTCCGGTCCTTGACCATGGCGCGGGCGATGGACCAATTGGTCCAGGAGCCGTCAGGGGATTGGACGACGTGCATGCCGTAGGTTTGGATGTATTTCCCGCCATCAGACTGGTGGATCATGGGGACGGGAAGGGCCGTGAGGTCGATTTCGTCGCCGGTGAGGGAGTTCTCCTTGACGGGGCCAGAGGGGACGATGGTGGGAGGGATCGGGGGGAGGGTGCTAGCGGAGAGCATCTTATCGAGGATTTCCTTCATGCTGGCGGTGGGAGGGAGGGCGAGGTGGCGGGCAAGACGGCCATAGCGGTCTTTTTTGGATGCGCGGAGAGAAGCGGGGGCACCGAGGATCCGGAAGAGGCCTTTCTTGCCCATGCCCTTGAGGTTGTTGAACAGGGGGGCTTTGTCGTCGGTTTCGCAGACGAGACGGGTGATGGCGGCGGCTTCGAGATGGGGGTCGATTTCGGTGTTGATTTCAACGAGGTCATTGTCGGTGCGGAGGGCCTCGACGAAGGCGCGGAAGGAGTGGTCCACGCTGAAGGTAGAGTGGTTGGACATGATGATGCTGACGTGCTGCTAGGGGGTAAGATTGAATAGTAGGCTGTGTGTTGTAATGGAGGGGATGTGGTTGCGGGGGGAGGCTGCTTATATACCCGTGGAGTGGGTGAGGCCCGCATCGCTGAGGCAAGTTACAGACAGCTCGGAATTGATGCAGTACATTGGCAGGCAGGACTGGCACGGAAGCTCGTTGCTTTCGGGACCTCGGAGGCCTCGGGGAGAGTTTCTGGTTCAAGGCGGGAAGACCCAGTTTATGATGATCTTCATCCGTGATATCCGAGTGACGGAGTTGTAGCTGTGTTGGATAATGACATTGCGAATGTAGCATTTTGTGGGTGGATGAGACTACGGCAGTAACTGCATGTTGATATTAGGGATGGTGAAAATGACATTGGGAACCTCTATTTCAGTAATATTGAAATTTCATGCGGTTGAACCTTTGAAATTTTTCAATATCACGTGATAATAGTGGATCCTTATATGATCAATCAATGAAATTTAAAATCGCGGGTAATATGTAGTATATATACTTATACTAAAATACATATATCTGTACACAATATAGTATTTTTTATATATATTTTTATTAAGATTACTTGTACTTTTCTAACTTAAATTAGAATATTAAGTATAGATTTACTTATATTATCACTATATAAAATTACGGCTTTATAGTGATTTTTTACTAAAAAATAAAAAAATTACGCGATTTTATGACTTATATATTAAAAAACGAAGTATATTTCTACTAATTTAGACAGATAGTCTAGTAGTATAATATTTTTTTATCATCACAAGTTCGATTCACGTTTATATCTTTTTTTCAAGAAAAAAGTTTAGTCTAAAGAAAATTAGCTTTAAGCACTATGAAAAGGGTTAGACCCTGTTAGCCATCCGGAACTGGAACATCCTATGTTCCAGCCTGTCTGGCGCTATAACTCTAAATCAACAATATCTGAAGAAGTACAGAAACTATCTAATAAAAAAGAATAAATCCAGAGAACTCTCTAAAGCTATAAAAAAACTAGTTAAAAGATATAAAGATCTTTTAATACTGTACGGGAAGTCTTTAAAAAAGATTATTTATAAAAAAGATTATTTAACCTATAATTAAATAGCTCTTTAAAGAATTTAATTTCTATTTACTATTATATATTTTGTGTAGTTCTTGAATTCTTAAGTCTATTATAATTTTAAATTCTCTTTTTTTAAGAATTACTTATTAGATTAGTATTAACTATGTATTATAATTATAATATACTAATAAATTTAATAAGCTAATCTAGTAGTACTTATCATGATAATATTATAAAATAATTAATTAGATAAATTAAAAAATTATTTTTTTCAAAATATTTAGATATAATATACTCTCTTCTAACAGGACTCCATAATAAATAGCCAGATTTAAACTAGTCTTTAATAAATTAAGTAGTTTATTAATAACTCATTTTTTTTCTCCGATATTTATTATATTATTTCTTATATTAGTACTAGTTCTCTTCCAAGAACCAGCTAAGATAAAGGAATCTAAGTTTTTAATCTTTATAAACTTTAATAAAAAGAATAAAAGGAAGTTTTCTAATTAACTTAATAATATATAAATAAAGATTAAGATTAATTAATAATTTATTAAGTTATTAGCCAATCAGGTCTAATATAAATTTATATTCTTAAATAAAGAAATTACGATAAAGATTAATTTATAGATTAAGATTAACCAGAAGAGTCTTACCTTCTCAATCATAATCTTAATTAACTATTTTAAACTGATTTATAAGAACACTGCCTATTAGAAAAAAGTTATTAATAAATTATTTATACTTTATTAAAAAAAAACTAAGTAAACAATAATCTTTTTGTAAAGATTAACAATCTGTTAATTAAGATCAACAGCTATAACTAAAAAGATATAAATAAAAAAATCTTCTATATGAAGTCTTGAATAATGATATCTGTTAATAAATAGTAAGTATTAAATGAGAGATTAACTTTAAAGATTTTTACTAACGGGTTAACTAAATAATAGATAAATTAATAAAGATTAACTAACTCTTAAAATAGCCTACATATTTTAACACTTAAGCAAGCAACTCTATTAAGAAGAATAAGCTTAAATAATATCATAAACTAAAAATAAACTATAGCCAGTACTAAACCTGTTTAATAAGTCTAGTAAATATTAAAAAAGATCTTAAATTAGTATGAGAAGTAGAGACTGTATTTCTATTATAGAATCTTAAATTATTATATTATTAAATACTCCCATCTGCCCCTATAATATTCTTTAAATAAGAAAAGCTTAAAGAATAAGATTTTTTAAATCTTACTTAAAAAGCCCCTGTAATAAAAATTAGTTAAAAAGTCTTAATAATCCTCCAGATCTCTTTAAAAAAAAGTATAGCTTTTCTAGATTATTATCTAAAAAATTATCTATCAATAAAATATTATTATAAGAAGTTTAAAAATAAAGTATAGAGATTTAAAGATTATTATACCTTCTCTATACTAAAATTAATTAATAAATTTTATTTTATAAGTATCTTGATTAATATTAGCTATATGCTATATAGAATTATTAGCTAGAATTTTATAATTAAATATAAACTAGAGTATATATTAATTAAACCATGAAGTATTAAAAGTTTTAAAGGAGGTAAGGTTTTTATGATTAAATTTATAAAACTATTTTTAGATATTAATAGAAATCTATAGAAATATATATATCTGTATGTTCTACCATGTCTCTATAAGTATAATATTATATTAAGACTTCTATAAATAAAGTATCTGTGACAGCAGCTCCGCCAGGTATCACGTGACGCGTATGTCATCCTGTTTGTTTTGTTTGCTTTACTGTCACCAGTGTTGTTTTTCTTTAGTAAACATCCACAACACTTTCTGTTTTCCTTTTTTTCTATTTATACTTAAAGTTCTAGAGTAGTTAGTATTAATACAACTTTATTTTATATTGAACAGCCATTTTATAACTTTAAGTATTCTTTTTATCTCTTTTTTACTGTTATATATAGTTGGCTTCTGTTAATCTATCAGTAGTTTTCCCTACTCACATTCTTAATAATATTTAACAGCTAACATAATCCACGGCCTTGTGACGCAGTTTTGCCGCCACCTCAAATTATTCAACAACAACACCACTTCAACGCGTCACCATTCTATATTTATTAGATAAAAATGTCCCTTTCTCAAGAAAACCGATTACAAATGGCTATTTTAGCTATTAAAAATAAAAAAATCCAGACAAATCGAAAAGCTGCTGATATATTTCATATATCAGAAGCCACTCTTCACCGTCGGCTTCGAGGAAAGAAATCACGTACAGAAACACGCGCTAGCGGCCATAAATTATCAGTTCTTGAAGAAGAAGTCCTTGTTAAGAGACTGCTAGGTGCAGATAAACGAGGCTTCTCAATTCAACCCGAATTTCTACGTAGAATGGCGCAGATTCTACTTCGCGAGCATACACAAGATCCGACTACAGTTCTTGAAGTTAACTGGGCCTATTCATTTATCAAACACCGCCCTGAGCTACGTACAAGATACAATTAAAGGATTTCATATTAGCGGGCAAAGCAAGAGAATCCAAAGATAATAAAGCCATGGTTTGAAACTATATGTGACGATATTCAAGAACATGATATAGATAAAGATAATATCTAGAACTTTAATAAGACTGGCTTTATAATAAGACTCTGCACAACCTCTAAGGTTATTACTACAGTAGAGTGCAGTGAAAGACCTCGGAGAGTCATCCAAGACAATCATAAATAAGTGATAATTATTGAAGGTGTAAGTTTTAAGAGAATTATTATACTATTAATGATTATCTTAAAAAGGAAAAAACATCAGGCTCTGTAGTATCAAGAGCCTAATCTTTCTCTAGATTGGAGGCTTATCAACAGTGCCAATGGCTGGATAACAGATAAAATAGGCCTAAAGTAGTTATCGCAAGTGTTTAATCCTTTTCCTAAGCTCTATTTAACTGGTGTAAAACAGTTGCTTATTCTTGATAGTCATTCAAATCACTAATCTACAGAATTTGATACTTTTTACAGAGAGAATGTAATTATCTGTCTTTGTATGCCTCTACATACGTCCCATCTTCTTCAGCCACTTGATATTGGTGTTTTTGGACTGCTTAAATGCGTATACAGTAAATTAGTTAAAGATATGATAAAGGCTGGAAATAATTATATTGATAAACAGGATTTCTTATACCTATATCCTTCTGCACGGAAAAAAGTCTTTATTTTAAAAAATATATGCAACAGCTTTACAGGAGCTGGTCTTAAGCCATTCAATCAAGACTGGGTTCTTAAAAAAATCACCTTTTAACTTCGCACACCAACACCACTATTACTTACTGAAGGCTCAATATCATCAGCTTTTCAAACACCTCAGAACTCTCGCTAGATTGATCGTAAGGTTCAAAGGCTACAAAGAAGCCTTTAAAAGAAAAGAACACTTTCCAGCAGTCCAGTCTCTCATATTCAACATCTTGAAAAAGCTGCGCAAATGGCAATAAATATGAACCTTCTTGTTACAGACCCCTGCTAGCCAGGTCACTAGCGGAGCGGACTCGTTAGGCAGAAAAGCGATAACAAGGCAGGACTCGGACAACCAGCAACTCTTATCAAGTAGAATCCCGGTCTGAGTAATGTCTGAAGCGGTGTTGTATCACATGGCCATCTACTATCAGATCTACTATTAAGAATATATAATATAGTATATGGGAATCCAGGAACATGATTAGATTAATCCTTAATCTACCCTGAATAGTATATGATATGGTATATAGAGGATAGGATATAAGAATACTCTTTCATATACTTAGCTAGTTCTGTTCTTCATACTCAATAATACTGTCTTTAAGTAACCATATATTTTGATAAAGCTTAGCAACAATACTCATCTGTACTTACTTACGGATAGCTGCACGGTACTATCTGGCCTTACTTCTCTTCTCTTGTTCAGGACCA